ACCAAGCATGGGCCTCTTTTGACATGTTGCATACGAAGGTTCATTGACAAGGATCAAGCATGCTTGTCTTGGTTGTATTATCTTTGCAGAGGAACAGCGAAACCACCGGCTTCAGTCAGACTACGTCACTGCTGCGCGAGTCTGGTCCTTGGTTTTTTCAATTGATGTGTCCGGTTTCTTTGGTTTTGACACCTAAAGGGCAGCCTCAAGGTTGCCATTTCCGTGAGATGATTCGTGGGCGCCACTTCTTGGTTGGCGCCATGTTTTTTTGTTCATGGCGCGGAGCCATGACCCACTCTCTCGAGCCGCGAGGGGCGCGCGTCGGGCTTCGACCTGCGGCCAAACTTAGGCCATGGGAGAGGTGAAAAATCCACCTACATGGCCAAGTTGCTGCTTTTTTCAGTCACTGCTGCTGGTTTTTGGGGTACAGTGCATGGAGAAAAAAACGAAAAGCCGCTGGCGATCCAGCAGTGCCCCTTCTTCCGTTCTCGGGAGAGCTGCTGCTTTAAAATTCCATTTTAACCCCTTAGCGGGAAGGCGTGATTTTGGCTTCGGCCGGGATGTGGGCTCCACTCACTCCAATTGGGGGGGGGGGGATCTTGAGCAATGTGGCGGAACCGCCAAAAAGAGAGTGCCCTTTTTCCCATGATCGCCGGAAGTCTGTTTGTAGCACTCTGTTTGCCTCACGGATAATAGGGTCCCAAAGCAGGTTGGGAGTCGAACAAAGCGGTTGATGGAACCTCATATGTCCCTCGTTCACTTGGACCCTCTGCCAGGTTCCGTGGCAACGGAAGGCTTTACGAAACCGTAGGGTCACGCATTTTGGCCTGGCCGTAGCATCACCTTAAGGAATCTGTGAATGCCAGTAATCCCCCACCCCAAAAAGTGGGTTCCCGGATGGCGAGAAAGACATTTCGTGTCAGCTTCGCGAATTGCAGGTGCCACGAAAGCTGTGGGAAAGCTTTGATGCAGTTTGCTTTTGGTTTGCTTGGTCACCCTTGTTCCAAATCGCAAACCCGCACGTATGCCATTCGATCCGATTCTTTTTCGGGAGACCAGTGTTGCTGCAGCCAGCTTTGAAGCACACGGCGGGCCGTGTCACTCCTGTTGCTGGCTGGCTGGCTGGCTTGTGTGCGCGCTTGCCCGCCTGGCTCCCTTGCTCCCAGCTTGCCCTCAGTCCAACAGTTGCTCACCATGGGTGGCCTTTTTGGGTTAGGTTGGTTAGAAATAGATGGCGCTGGTTTAGATGGATTTGGTTCAACTTACCAGGGCCATCTATTTTTTTTCAAAATGACACCCCAGAAATCAGCGGATAGTCTTCCTGGGAGATGACTCAATAGTCGCTGAGCTTTGGACAACTGATGTTCCGACCCCAGTTGGTTCTGAACACAAGGAAGGATATTCGCTTGACACACCCAGTCCTTCGGAACGCAGCTCCTTCAAAATCAGGAAGAACGGAGTGCCGATAGCTCCGAGTTTTCCCGCGGCCTCCTGTGGTGCTCTTCTTGTTTCTGTTTGTGGGAGGGTATTCAATGAAAAACCCTGCCACAATAAACCCAGGTGGTATCAGGACCCAACAGCCCCTGGAGAAAGAAATCCTGGAAGCCTCCTGACTGCCCCACCCCGGAGCCTAGCTGGGCCTATTGACCCAATAGCTTCCAGCTGGTGGGGAACCGGGAAGGGCTCCAAGACTGGTTGGCTGGTTGGTTGGTTGGTTGGTTGGTTGGTCGATTGGTTGGCTGGTTGGCTGCTTGGTTGCTTGGTTGCTTGGTTTGGTTTGGTTTGGTTTGGTTTGGTTGACCAACTCAGCTGCCACATGTTCTTCCCATGGCCACGTTGCAAAGCGTTCGCGCCAGGCCCGAGCTCCATTGCATGGCGAAGCCACGTGTGGATTCTGGCTGCAGCTTGGGCAGCCCTTTGATCCAGCCATGTGTGAGAAGGGGGTGTCCCACCGACTACTTCTTCAAACCCAGGACTTCAGAAGCAAGTACACACGACTCGTTTGCTTATCCTTATTGATCTAGCCATGTGTACTCGCTAAAAGCTGTGAGATCACTTCTCTTCGAGGCCGACCTGTTGTTGTAACTACCAGATATCAACATTGTTTACATAGTAGGATGTTGGGACCACTTCGCTTCAATCTCGCAGTGAGTGAGGAACAGGGCTCGTCCGAGCCCGTGTACATGCTAGTGGCCCTTCTGAAACATGGAAGGGACTTAGAGAGTCGCGTTGTGGACGCGCCAGGGAGAGCAAACATTGAGGCATTGTCGGGTGTCGATTTGGCCACACTGACATGCATGGCCCATCTTTTGCAGGGAAGATCGTTTTGGACGTTCGTTTGCCGCAGATTCCACAAGAGCTTGCGCACCTTGTGTTGAAGGATTTCTCCTCGACTTTGTATACTTTTGGTTTAACCTTGTTTTTGCCAATCCACTCAGCAAATGAGGAATGCTTTTGTTTGAGTTTGGATTTGCTTTGGCCAACTCAGACAATGAGGTGAGCTTGCTTATGTCATTGGATGGCCACTGGGGAAATCGCAAGGAGGTTCCCATCGAGGCGAACCTTCACAACTGATACGAGGGAAGCCTTCGAATTACAATGCGTATGAGATTTGTACAAGGGGGACCCTTCGCTGGACATTTACACCAAGCACTTTTGAGCTGTTTCTTGTTGAAGTTAGCCAAATAGGTGTTAGCTGAAGGAGAGCGCCCTAAAGATGGTTGATTTTTTCTGGTTATTTTCTTTCAAGCACCCTCCGACCATGGGCCAAATCGAGCAAGTCACAGAGATGTGCGGCTTTGGGATAGCCACTACATTAGGTGGTTTGTCGGTACCTGAAGCAGACCTTTGCTTGTAACCCTGTTTGTGCTTTTTAACGCCCACCCAAGTGCAAACCTGGATTTCTTTCACTTTCACAAGGAGATAATGCAAGGGATAGATTCATTTTCAGGAGAAATGACAAGCCTTGCCGGTGGGCAGTCATCCCAGTGCAGATATGGAGAGGGCAGGACTGAAGCAAACCCCGAGCAGCGCTCTGTTGACCACACGGGGGCCTGTTGCCTTCTTCAGAACCTCCAGCTTAAAATTCCGTTGTTCCAGTTGCGCAAGCAGTTGACCGCAGCTTCAGCCCAAAGGACCCTTTTACAACACAAAACAAGTCCGCCGTGCGCAGTCGGCCAGCGTGGCCCTGATTTTCGCCGCGCACTTCGGTGGTTGCCCGAACGCTGTTTCTGCGTTGACGAGAAATCCCCGTGTTAGGGGTTTTGAGGTTGACTGAACAATTCATGGAGGACCTGCCTCCAGTGGTGGATGGTCGAGTTGGTATGCATTTTGCGGCAGCCACAAAAGTACATATCCATTTGGGCAGGTCATTCGGACATGTTGGGGGGGCTGGGGCGCATGGGGGGCATGAAAAAAGGGGGCAGGGTGAAAGTTAGTTGTTCATTTGGGCGGGTTTCCGTTTGATTAATTGGACAGCTTGGCAGTGAGATGGACCTTTTCTTTGTGCTGTCCTTTCGCAGTTCGAAGCGCAGCCATGGGCTAGAGATCAGCGATCCAAAGCAGACAGCAGCAAGCCAACACTTTTGGTGTCTTTCTATTTTGACGCAAACCCAAATAGGTGGGGGTCAGAATAGGCACCCAAAATGGAGCCTTCTTTCGAGTCCAACTAAGTTTGGACGCAGAAAAACACATCCTGGAGGTAAAGCAAGACCTGGCTCCTAATATCTTATCGTTGCAAGCTATGGCTTGCAACGGGAATCGGAATCGTGTTCGTTGTTGGCCAGGCGCGGAAGTTCCGAAGAAGTGGTTTGGTGTTTCCTTTGTTCAAGCTGGAGAGGGGGGCATGGAAGCATGGAAGCACGAGTTTGTTTCTGATCTTTTTGGCTTCGGAAGGATTGGCCCAAAGGCCACAAATGTGCCAAAGGTTTGGGTTTGCAACATGCATTTTGGAGGTGCCTTGCGTAAGGATGATTTTGTCAGTATCAATCATTTGGTTGCTGTATAGCCCACTGTGTAACGGTTTACTCCCCCTTGACAATGCATGTTGTTGCTTGTATCTGTTCCCCCTGTAGCACCGAGCTCTAGGAGTTTGAATCCTTAGCTTCCAGCGAGTGGCTTCGAATGTTCCGATGCTTCGACTGGCGCTGCTGAGCGCTTTGCGGGGGCCTTGTGTTTGCCTTCGAGGGGCTAGGGTGAGGCGTAGACGCGGCTACGAGTTTTGCTGTTAGTGGTGGGAACATCCCATTATTGTCGGACCTATATCGCCATAGTCAAAGCACCAAAGGGTCATATGGTTCCGTTGTTGAGATGTCTATCCATGTGACTTTGGCCATGCCTTTAGGAGTGCCCTTCCTCAAGCTAACATACAAACAACTCTTTGTTTGGAGTTGAGGAAGCGACACCGCCTGCGCCTCAGAGTCTGGTCCTATGTAAGACACCGGGGTCTGTCAGGTAGGAGGGTCCTCGCCAAAAGGAAGCAGACGTTTCCCCAGTATGGGTGCGCCTTGTTTTTGAGGGTACCTTTTATTTGTGGTTTGACTTTAAAAAAATGGGGGGGGAGGGTCAGCCGGTTTGGTCAGAGCACAGGAGTTCCCCGTAGAAACCACAGATTTATGGGCATAGCGACATGACTGAGTTTTGTTTTTGCACCTCACCCATGACCCTGTTCTCTTTTCCTGAAGGGATGAGGATTCCAGGGAATGTCAGTTAGATAGTCAGCGGAGCAGCATGGGCCATCCCTCAAATTCCTATTGTAAGCCAAATGCTTGCAAATCCCTCATTGGCCAAAGATCACAACTTAGGGTTCAAGAGGCATGGTGGCTTAGGGCTTAGGGACGCCTTTTTGGGCAGCTCATTATCCCACAAAAAGGTGTTATTCCTCATATGTTGTTTTTTTGCTCCATAATAGTTTCTCCGTGATTGCCTGTTTCCCACGCGAACCCTTTGACCTTGTTTGGTGCAGTCCTGTTTGTTTCACCAGAGCGTGCAGTCGCGCTTTCTGGTTAGCGTGTTGGCCTTGCCACGTTGCAGACCCCGAAAGAGAAGTTCTTAAATGAAAGTTGGCTATGAACTTCATCAACCACTGTCTGCCGATCTGCCATTATTATCTTCTTTGCCCCTATGGAGTTTTCACGCAACATTCTTGCATTGTACGTTTCTTTGTCCTACTTGTTGCCTATTTGTGCAGGACCCCACCAGAGGAAGGCGAAAGCCGCAAACAAAGCATACCACTTCAGGTCCCTACTATCCATTCCAACCCACAATCCCCCCACGCAGAAAGTCTGACCAGTGAAGTTTGCACTTCACAAGGAAGCATGAAACTGATGAGACTGCAAGAAACTTGCCAAACCTCAGGTAGTCCAATTTACCGACACATTTATGATAGTTATTGTTAGCGTCATTATCATCTGTTGGACCTTGGACAAAACAGAACGACGAACAAATGACCAAACAACAAACAGGCAAACAAACCTGCAAGCAAACAAACAAACAAACAAACAAACAAATACAAACAAACAAATACAAACAAACACATACAAACAAACAATCAAACAAACAAACAATCAAACAAACAAAGAAACAAACAAACAAACAATCAAACAAACAAACAGACAAACAAACAAACAAACAAGCAAACAAACAAACAAACAAGCAAACAACCAAGCAAGCAAGCAAGCAAGCAAGCAAACAAGCAAACAAGTAGACAAACAAGCGAGCGAGCGACCAAGCAGGCAAACAAAGAAACAAACAACGCACGGTTACGACGGCACTGGTCGCCTGCATTTAAAGTAGGCGGGGCCTTTCAAATTCCCTGCCCATGCAAAGGAAAACATGGCCGAGCTGCAAAACACCCTTTTTCAGGCACGCACAAAACTAAGTGTCGGCCTGTCCCGCAGCCCGCGCAATCTGACATTGAGATGCATTGATACTGACTGACATCAATAACCATTTCTTTGGGGTTTGCATAGGGATAAACCCGGTCGGTGGCTGTCCGGGGCTTGGGTTCCTCCCAAGCAGCAATGCCTTTTCAGATGCTTGGATGTGGACCGTCTATGGAAGCGCGCAAAATCACATCTCTGGTGTGAGACCTGTCTAGCCACCCAGCAAAGAGCACCATTGCTGAACTGATGTGGTCCAACAGCCCACTTTGGGTGATCTCACTGAACGATTCAGCAGGCAGGACGGCTTTGGGTAAGGTGGCTGGCCACATAGAAAGCAATCCGAACTCACATCAGCCGTGTTCTGGGTCTTTGGATTCCTCGCATCAGAGACGGACAATATCACGGGGAAGAGAAGTTCCCAAAAGCCCTTACTCTGCTAGACAACAAGGGAAGGGTGCCCAATCCAAACCCGGAGTGACTAACCATCTCCGCCGCTCACTGTGGAGAAGCAAAGGAAAAGTACCGAGACAAACTGCAATCCCCCTGCCTTCGGCCTGAGCATTCTGACCACCTCGCCCAAAGACACTACACCTTGTCAGCGTGCAAGTCGGTGGTTTTCAGCCAGCGCGGTAGGCTGGAGGCATCTACTTCGCGTGTCAAACGGATCAGCTTGCTCTGGCGGAAGCCGGCCGCGGGCTCTTTCTGACTGAAGAGCTTCAAGAAGTGTTCGCTGCGGCAGCGCCACGCCTGTGTGCCAAAAAGGCCCACAGAGCTAGAGCACTTGCCTTTGGCACGAGCCTTCGTTGCCCCGGGCTGACGCCTTAGGCACCGCCTTCCCTTGCCACGGGCAGCTCTTGCTCGTCCTCAAGAGCAGACCTGAGTTGTCTTGCCTGGACGTCAAGGATGAACGCCATAGGAGTAAAAGATGTCTGATCGTGCGCACGATAGTCATGTGCTACCCACACAAAAACCAACGAAAACGGACAAACAAACAAAAGAACAAACACAGACACAAAGAACCAATCAAAAAAACAAGCAATCAAAGAAACAAACAATCAAAGAAACAAACAATCAAAGAAACAAGCAATCAAAGAAACAAACAATCGAAGAAACAAACAATCAAAGAAACAAGCGATCGAAGAAACAAACAAACAAAGAAACAAACAAAGAACAAACCAAACAAAACAAGAAACCAACAAAGCCACGAATTCACGCACCAGCTGGGGGCAGCATTGCGCCTCTCGAGGCGCCTCGCGGCCTCTTCCGAGCCCAGCTGCGAGGCCGCCGGCGCAGCGTGGGGACCCCAGCGGATCTCCTCCAAACAAACATGAGCATTAAAGATATGGTTTTTTTCAGAGCTGAAAGATATGGCTGTGGCTCAGAAAAACATATATACCAAAATGAAACCCTGGTAAGTGGAAACATGGACCAACACCTGCGGTTTGCCCCTCCGATCGTTTAATTTTGAGCCACACCCATATTGCTTTTTCAGGGGCCCCAAACTCCGGTTGAAAAGATCCTGCACACAGAAAGGCTTAAAGGGCACCCGCGAAAGAAGATCTAGGAACGATTTAGTGGACAAGATTTGGGTGGGGACGTGAAAATGATGTTTTTGTGTGGATTACACTCTTGAGGCGGATCCCTACTGAAATTCATGGCCATATGTTCTATTTCAGGGTAGACAGTTGGAACAGGGACAGAACATACCCAGAGGTGGGCCAAGATGCTGGACGTTTCTACTGAAACTGAGTTCACATGGATTGTAGCAAGGCAAAACAAAAAAATGGTCAGCATCTTGGTAGAACAACTTCGATGGGTCAGCAAAATTTCAATCCCTGTTTAGTCAACGTTGCAAAAGGCTAACCTTTGTCTGGGTCTTTTGGGGAAATGAGTACCCGCTTGCAACAGTTGCGGAGGGGCTGTTGGAAGCGGACGTCCTTGCATCGTCCACTTCCGTTAGAAAAGAGCATAGGCAACCCCAGCGTTTCCTCCATTTCCGGGTAGGTAATTTTAGGGTTTCCTCCGTTTCCTTTTTTGGAACCTGCAAACAGCTTCAATGGACGCCACCAGTTAATTGCAACTTTTGAAAGGGAAATCCAGTGACGCCTGACCCTGGTTTCAAGTTGACTTGGCTTGCGAATTGTTCGAGTTTGCCGCTCGACGGTATCTCGGGTAGCGTTTTGCGAGCCCATATGGGCCCATGAAGGTTTCTTGTAAAGAGACCTCTTGTGGTTGGTTAAATTGGGTTGGTCATTCTCAGGGTGTACCCTGAGTTGACCTGGAAAGAAAGTCATTTTCCTTGCCACCAGCTACTTCACCGCCATCGGATTCTGGCAGGGTCGACTGTTCGACGCTCCTTTTGCGAAAGCAAAGGGCTGCCTCGACAAGAACGTATAGACACCCTTCTGAACTGGGAGGTCCCTTGATGTCAGCATTTCGGTCAAAAGGCATTGCCTGGCTTTCCTGAAGACCATTCCCCCACTCCCCCCCGCAAAAAGTTAGGTCCACTAGGTTTGCTGGGAAAAAAGTGATGGAACCAATCTGATTCCTCTGGGACATGCTTAGAATCCAACTGCTTTAGCAGTGGAACTGCATCGATGTTTCCAGACCTAAGGGACTGCTGTGCCCCCCGAAGCGTCCCATGTCATCCCGGTTCCTTAGTCCCACGTAAAAAGTTTGGGAGACACTTGACATGAACAAGGGGGGTGTGGCAACCAACATGAAACGATCGGGGCAGACCGCAGGGTTTGAAGTCCATGTGTCCACTTTCCAGGGCAACCCATTTTAATACCGGTTTCTTGAGCCACAGCCAAGTCAGAAGATGAAAAGGAGGCCATTTGCAGATGCACATATGAATTCTGCCTATACGGAGCTCACCCGGGGGTATAACGAGCTCACTATGATGCAGGTCCTTTACTTGGATATTCCTCAATTCAGCTTTTGGAATTATCTAGGTCCCCCAGTAGTGCCCTTTAACCCTTTTTTGGGGGAGGGTTCCCCTACTAAAATAGACGACAAAAAAAGGGTACCTTTATTCCAACCTCTCTACTGGAGGACCTAGAAGAAGAGTTTTCCTCTTGCTGATGATCGCAGTGCACTGATCTCTGACGATGAATGATGAGTTGGGCCGGTATGCCTTGATCTTTGAATGAGTGATGGTGAATGATCGTGATAGTAGGAGCAGAGCCGAATCAATCTATTGCCCGCAAATAGCCCGATTCTGATGGATATGACTTATATGAATCACACAAACAAGATGCACGCCTTTGGGCTGAAGCAAAACTTGGGCAACGCGGGTTGACCCCCTTGCTGCAGAAAAACAAAACAACACAATCCTTGCTGACTGTTGTTTTGACAAGGCAGGAGAAGTGTAATCCCTATTGACCAGGTCCCCCAGCTAGGTGCCCTTCTCTCCCCTTGTTTGGTCGGGATAATTTTGGGCGGTGCTAAGGCCGTTGCCAGGGTGGCCATGGACAAGTATGTTGAGCGAAAAGGATGTTGGACTCGGGAAAAGGAGGGCTTCCGCCTGTTCTAGGGTTCTACTCATAAGTGTCCTTTTGAGGTTAGTTTGGTTAGACATAAATGGCACTGGGTTTCTTTATGATTATTCAATTTTCCAGGGCAATCCGGGCAATCTACTGTACCAAAAGAACCTAACGGGCTCGCGTACACTCCACTGGATGCAGCCTGCCAGGTCATGCGAATCCCCTCACGCGGCTGCCGCGTCTTCGGCGTCCGCGACAACTCTTCCGCGCCAAGCGCAAGGCCAAGGCCACGAGGCGCGACGTGGCTATGCGCCATGTCTCATATAACATGGAACCCCAAGCAAGGCGTTGCCCGAAACATGGCATCCGCAAGAGTCGCCATCTGAGCGGGTTTGGGCAAGTTATCTAGGTCCCCCCAGTAGTGCCCTTTTACCCTGTTTTTGGGGACGGTTCCCCTGCTAAAATAGGAAAAAACACCCCCCCCCCCCAAAAAAAAAAGAGAAAAAACGGGTACCGTTACTCTAACCTCTCTACTGGAGGACCTAGTTCTAGAGCCGGGGGTTTGGGAAAGCTTTAAGGTGGCCCATGTGCCCCATTTTCTTGTGTTGGGCTTCGGGATTGGCTGCAGCACAAACCCTTGCTATGACCCTATGAAGCTTTCATCGCCCGAACCGTGTTATTTTTTGCCGGCAAACCAAGATTAGCTTAATTGGGGTCCAGCCCAAAAACAGCTGTCAGAAGACACTGGTTTTGCAATTCCTTAATTCTAGCATGTTAAGGGCTACAGGCCCAAATCTTGAGTAGGAGAGACTGACCCCTGCCCAGCCAGCGCAACCGTTATGAGACTGTGAAACTCCTTCTCCTCCTCACCATCTTCGCACACCACTGCCATCCCGCTGTATGCCAAACGCCGGCAGCGCAGCACATTGTTCAGGGTTCATGCTCAACACAGCGTCCAGACATGTTATTGAAACCAAAACCCTTATTAAGACAATGTGTCTTTGGGTGACAAGGATTTCCACTGCCCCCGAAGCCTTATTAGTGCCAAGACAAACATTGCAGCCCCGGCCACCCCGTGGAAAGAGTTTGCCACACCTAAGGAACTCGTTCCCGCAACTGCAACTGGTGACATGTGTGACTGCAAAAACCCCGAATAAGGTCATGTTTTGTTTTTTCAAGAAAAAACGATTTAGTGCTCTAATAAGCCGCTAGTAAGGCTTAATCAGGTTTTTTTTTGGACCCCTAATAAGGCCATAATCACGCACTAATAATGCGCTATTAAGGCCTTGCCGCCAAATCAGGCCTTATTCTGGAACTCAAGATTTGGTGGGGGGGAGCTTTGGGGGGGGGGATAGCATCCTGTGAGTAACAGCCAATAGGGTACCCTCCCTCCCACAATCATGGAAGCTAACACGAGGGTTTTGGCAGACTACCTTCCTTTTCGGGAAGGGGGTTGTTCACTTCCATGATTGTTGACAAGAGGGTATGCGTTTTGTTGGACAACCAAAATCCAGACCCTCCGTTTAGCCCCAGTTTGGGTTGCCTGCCAGGCAGGGCTTTTAGCATTGCAGCTGGCGCGGGCACCAAGCGGCACTCCGGGTCCGAGGGCCAATAAATGGGCAGCTGAAATTTCTCGGACTCTGGACTTGTTGCGAAGGCCAGTCTAGTGGTAAACTCAGTTGTTCAAAGACGACCTTTTGACCTTTTGGTTTTCCCATTTTGGTCTATTTTTAGTCATGGCCCCACAAGGTTAACCTTTTAGTTCCAGGTCCTTTGGGCAACTGAGTAAACGGTAAGCAACACATTCGTACTCTTTTTTGGCCAATCCACCCAGGTGAGTCGAAACCAAAGGACAACGACCGTCCGAATTGGGGACCTGTTCAGCGGATTTGCCGATCGCTTACACCCAAGGACAATGATGTGTGTAGCATCCGAGGGAAGCCCAGATGTTCGAATCCTAGGGTCGCTTCTTTTTTTTAACTGGAGAGGTACAGAAACGACTTGGACCTGCGGCGAATCAGTCCAGGAAGCGAGTCTCCTCATCACACATGCCGTCAATCCTTCCCACTCCCAAACCTGAGAAGCTGTCCATGGTCTTGGCGAGGTTCATGCGCAGCAATGATCATCTGAACTCCTCCCAGTTGCCCAGTGGCGCCCTGTTTTCCTATTTTTTGGGAAGGGTTCCCCTTTAAACTCAACCAACCACAAAAGGATGGCCTTTTTGTGTTCCCACCAGGGTCGAGATAAAGTTCTTTCGCCGCGAGCTCACACTCCCCCGTTTTTTCGGGCCTGCATTTTACTGCTTTGCAATGCATGCTTGGGCCCGGAGTCCTTACACATGGCATAGAAGTGATTTTGAGATCTCTGCAGAGCTGGCAGCAATAATATCCTGCGTCCAGTTCTCGCCGCGCGTTCTCTTGATGCCCCCGCATTGCCCCCGCATTACCTTGCCTTGAGCGGTTCTCACAAATGGCTGGATCGGCAATCTGTAATATTTTGCCCCACTGCGTACCCTGCGTAGCCCTTGAATAAATGGGCCTGAAAATTCCCCCCCCAAACTTGGGGGGTTGATGTTTCCAGAGCCACTTTTTTGGGGATTCAAACAATCAGCTGGGCCCGACTTCTCCGGACAAAGACTGGGTGGGTCCGACTTCCGAAATCCATGGCACTCCAAGTGTGGTACTCTGGCGATCTCTGGCGCCTTCCCCCCGTCAAGTGCCCCTAAATTCCATAAGACAACTAAGAGTTCCTTTCTCCAAAGCCAAGGTCCCAACTTCATCGTTTTTTTTCTTCCCCCCCTCAAAACACCGCAAAGCTGGGGGTTTTGGGACGGCGCTTTTGGCGGTGCCCTGGTTTCCCTCTGGCTCGACTTCCCCGAATGCAGCCGCTTCCGGCTTCCGAGGCCTCGGACAACCGCAGGTGGCAGGTGTCGCAAGTGCCGCTCGGAGTGCTTCGGATTTTTTTCGAAAAGGAGGAGCTGACAGGGAATCGGCCGGGAGGAAATGCGGAGACATGCGGAGACATGAAACCTGAAGCTTGTTTTTTTTTTGTGTGTTGAGGAAAGGAACGGAGGAATGGGACCGCAGGGCCAATTCAAAGCAGCAATGATGTTTGGGCTCTTTTGGAGGAGTGTCCCTTCAAATTCACCCCGCCCCCTCCCCCCCAGGAAGTGGGAAGCTGCATCAACAGCCATGTGGGGGTGTCTTCTTTTTGGCGTACCCCCAAAGTTTCCCCGTTAAAACCGCCGAAAACAAGGCAGTTCTCGGCCCTCCACAAAAACTCGACAGACCCCGTCGCTGTCCTTTAAACCCGCCAAACAACAAGTAGTACCCTCAGAAAAACCGGTATAGACCCACGTGTGTGGGGCTCTTTTTGTCGGTTGCGGCGGTTTTTCGCTTCGGTTCCTCAGCTTAGGCTGCCGGACCGGCGCTTGGGTGACCTGCAGCTGGCGGACGAGTACCTCGCGGCCTCTCGATTCCGATGGGGTTCGGAACTCGGGCGCCTGGGGTGAAGCATGCGGACTGCGAATCCGTCTCTCGCACCACTAGGTCCCCCAGCTAGGTGCCCTTCTCTGCCCTTTTGTGGTTGGGAGATTCGGTTCCCCTACTAAAATAGACTACAGGAAAAAAAGAAGTCGGGTACCAACTTTTTCTAACCTCTCTACTGGAGTACCTAGACCACCTAAGAAACCCAACGGAATGATTTATGATTCCCCAACGTAAATACCAACAAACGTTATGGTGTCAACCCATACTGTGGATGGCTGCAAGACATTTTACGCAACGAACTGTGGAGTAGAGACTCTTTGGTGGACATCATTTACATGGGAATAAGAAGGTGCACCAACCTCTTTTCACGGAGTTCCCTATTGAAAGTTCTACCCGTACTGTGGATGGTTGCGAAACGCATCCATTTCGCACTACCGTTCAGAAACCCAACGGAATGATTTATGATTCCCCAACGTAAATACCAACAATCGGGAAGGGTTCCCATGGTTTCAAACTGGTGCAGGATTTTTTTCCACAGGGTGTCAACATAGGGATTTGGTCCCCAACTTACGCTCGTTGCTTCCTGCCGGTTTCCCATTTATTTGTTTGATTTCCCCTTTTGGTGGTTTCCTCTTTCGACCAAGCCTCCCCTTTTCTGTGGTCTTCTCCAACATTATTGGCCTGGGCAAATATGGAGGTGTATTTGTTTGTATTTTTTTAGAGGACCCTCAAAAATCAGAATCTGTGCTTAGTGTACCCTAGACGGAAGTACACAGGTCAAATGGGTGTGGTTTTGTGGCTACCAAATGTGTCAGGTTGGTTTACTGGGAGAAAGGAACGCCACTTTGGGGAAACATGGATTTGTTGGTTTCCTCTGGAATTTACAGGGTCATTTTGTGCATGCTGTTTTTGTTTTCTAAGTGTTTTTTTGGTTTCTGTTGGGTTCCCCGTCGTCTAGCTTCGCTTGGTGGCCTCAAAGCAGGTGTCACCTCCAAATCTCTGGGGCGGTTTTCAGTGCGGCTTGGGGCGTTTGCTGTGGTGAACAGGCGGACCGTTTGGGCATGCTCGTTTGAAGCCCTTTCAAAAAAATGTTGCCACATTTCAGGTCACGCCCCGAAATGAGTTCGAGGGTTCAGGTACTGGTTCCTGGGTTGCTGACGAGGGGCTTCGTATAGCCAGCAGCTGAGTTTAGTCAAGGTGTTGGCGTTCAAGATCTTTCAAAGGCCATCTCCTCACTCCCTGAGTTCATGGACTTTATACTTTTTGAGAAGACCATTTTGGTGGTAAACAAAAAGTTTGGACTTTTTTTGGCCAATCAACTCAGGAAGCGAGCCTCAAGCTTGGCCGAGGCAGTCAGATTGGCCCTTGCTTCCGCCTTAGGAGGGTGTCCTCTCAGCCTTTCGGAGGACTGACGAGGCCGGGGAGCCGCAGACTGCAAAAGGTGGTTCGTGTGGATGGTGGTGACGCGATCACGCGACAATTTATAACGAACCTGGCTCTCTTCCAGATCCGAGATGTGCTTCTATGTGCGTTTCAGAACATATGTTGTACTTCCCCCTGTTGGTTTCATAGGGAAGCTATCACTACTGGAACCTAGATGCGTTACGAGGGCCTTGAATCCCCAAAGGATGAAATAATCATGTCTTGGGCTCCTGAAAGGATGTTTGCCAGGGGGCAAGCACTGACACGGAAGTTTTTGGACACGACTTTTGACTCCTGGGCTGCCCCGCATTGTTGGTGGTTTCAAGGGGACAACCACAAGGAAGACCACCGTGTTGGGAGTCCCCGAAAAAACAGGCAAACCCAACCATGATAAGGTTCTCTAGGGGTACCTTTCCCATTTTTTCCAGCGACCCTTCTTTCCGGAAACCCAGGAAAACGGCCGGATTTTGGAAAGAGCGATGGTTGAAAAGAATGGAAAACGGAATCAACCCCCTAGAGTTTCCTGTATGAAGGGAACCATGACCAGAGTCCAGCGGGGTCTCGAAGTAGTTTGTTTCCCAATCGGAGTCGGAGCCTCCGCTTGGTCTTTGCCAAGTCGCCCACGCAGCTCTTGTGCATGCTGGAGGTTTTAGGCCTGTTCATGGTTGTTGTTGGGACACAGTTGACATTTTGCTAATTGTGGTTTTAGTGGGAAATCCCAACTTAACTGCTAAAATTTAAATGTTTGCTCCCCTTCCAACGTCAACCAAGTGTACTGAAAATCTGGGTGCCGTGGTTGTCTTTTTGGGTTCGATCCGGTTGGTTTCTGAATGGACTTGAAAACTTTGGGGCTTCCGTATGTTCCCACATTCGAGGATGTCATGTCCGTTGGAGAAACGATGAGTATAAGAAAGAACTCCTATGTGTACATATCATATCAAGTATGGTTTTTCAATATCAGCTGGACCACCCATGCGTATCGCATGGCATGCACTTGGTTCATTTGCAGTTTGGTTCCTTTCCGCCCATTGGCCATCGTCAGGAGCAGCTGCTGGTGCTGCGAACTCTGAAGGGTGGAACCAGGTGGCTTCGGTCGCAAGGGCCATGCGCCACGCCTTTGTCCCTTTGGGGTGCCCTGATCTTCCCATTTTCCTGGCCAAAACACGAACGTTTTGCCCGGGGGGGGTCTTGTCCCTGTGGGAGGGTTCCTTCATTTTCCCATTTTCCCGGCCAAGAAACGAACTTTTGCCGGTGGGTCTGAGCTTGGCCAAGAAACCATGGATATTGCCAGTTTGGGGGGTGTTGTTTGGAATCCATCTCAGAGAGGCTGATGCTATCTTGCAATTCGAGTGTGTGTGTGTGTGTGTGTGTGTGTGTGTGTGTGTGTGTGTGTGTCAAGACTAGGGCTCCTCTACATGATACGAAATGGTGGGATTCAAGTTGGTCCACTTTGAATAGGCTCTTAGCATTGAAACACTGGCATGCGTTTAAGTTGGTAGGCTGATTAGGTTGGTAAGGCAACAGAAGCCACCTTGCGTCTAGACCTTTGGCTGTGCGTGGAGCACTGTCCAGGTGAGAAGTATGGTATGTGTTGGTTGTTTGAGTCACAGTCAGGGTCCCGACTGAGCAGTTGCACATGGAGTGAGCTGACTCTCATGTTCATCAGGGTACTGAAGGAAGAGCGCAGGTCTGGAGTCAAACAGGCGGTGTGCTGAATTTTGGCGCGTCCGTGGAGCCTTTTGGTTCGGTCAGCATGGGTTGTTGAGACAATGGGATGCCCACCACGCCATTTGGCCCGATCCGATATTCTAGTGGTGGCGCTGTCGTGAGGTGTATGTCGCTTGCCGGTTCATGGAAGCCAAGACTTGGGAGAGTTCCGAGATCTGCTGGGAGTTTCGGTCGCCTGAGGATAAGGTTTGCAGTGCCGGGTTTTTTAGTCATCTTTGGCTGGTGGCCTAAAAGGGTTAGCAAGTCTTGGCAGGCTTCGGTCTGGCGGTCAAGGGGTGTGCTTAGATTTTTGGTTAGATTTGCATGTCAAACTCCTGTTGGCCAAAAACTCGGCGGCTTCAACTGAATGGTTCTGATAGGGTTTTTGAGAAGAGGGGGGGAGCCCCGAGATTTTAGAAGTTCCCTAGCCCTCGAGTTCTCAGTTGTTCAAAGCCGACCTTTTCACCTTTCGAAGTTTTTCCTTTTTGACCACCAAATTTTAAGTCGAGGTCCCAACAGGTGATCACCTCTGCACCCCGCTCGAAGGGGGTGCCGGTGAGAGTTCCTCGCCAAGCTCCGAGTCGCAGGAGCTTCTTAGGGCCGAGGTGGAGGGAGCTGGGCCCTGTGGAGGAGCCGCCGCCGGCGTCGGCAAAACTTGGCGTCGCCCGTTGGGCCAACGGTGGATGTGGGCTGTGTCCTGTTTTTTTAGGAATCGGACCCCCCCCCCCCCCCCCGCAAAATGGCGCGCTTCCTTCTTTTTTTTTTTGGGGGGGGGGTCGTTTAAAACTTAAAGCCCAGGATTATGTTGTTGTCCGTTTTGTCCGGCCCTTAAAAGAGTGAACACCCATGGATTCAACAGAAACTTAAAGACAATGCAACTTCAGTTGTATTGGCTTGCAAGCTTTAAACTGCAAAGCTTACGTCTAATCAGGATTCTAACAGACTTAGCTAGTCTTTTTTGAATCAGAATTGGATTTCTTTACCAAGTAGGACTTGAGTTAGGATTAGACTACAATTCAACTAGAAGTTACTAAGGAAAGGCAAGCTGGTTACTTTGTGTAAGTGCCTGTCTGAAACGGAACGGAAAGGCAGTTCTATACATTTGGTTTAAAATGCAGGGTTTTCATTGCAAGACGTTAAGATTAGATGGGCTTTTAATTAAAATTCAATTATGTTTGTTATATAAACTCCAACAATTGCAACTAAGATTCAGGAAAACACAACTTAGATTCCATTGGTGGCTCTTGGATTACTCTGACTCGCACCTTTGTGAGGGGAGGAATTGACTGCTCGGGGAGACCACCTCACTGTTGGGGCAATGCCTGGCAAGCAGGAGGCGGTGGCTTGAACTTGGGATTGGGGACTCTCCAGCGATGAGGATTCAGTTCCCCACAGGACGTTGGAGGGTTGGATTTACTTGCCCCCTCCCCTAGCCTGACCCTCAGTAGACTGATGGGGACTTACTCGTCGGGCTCTTAATTGTTCCAGGCAGCAGCTAGATTCAGCAACCACCTGGGCACTTTGTTCAGTACTTTTCCGTCTCGCGCAAAAAAAACCGCTCATTTCACTACAACACGCTCTACTAAGGAGTAGGAAAAAACATGCGACTGGAACATGTTCTGGTGTGCGTCCGCAAATTTCCGCTCATTTCCCGCATATTTTTGCACATTTCCCGCCAATTTCCGCTCTTCTGGGATAACACGAGCCAACTCATGCCATATCAGGGTTTCCGCTGAAATCATTTCCTGGAAACACATGCCCAGAGCCTCAGAAAGTGGCCACACGGGAGACCCAGGTGTTTCTGTTTCTATTCTGATACTGACGCAGGCTCAGGGGCTGGATGGGGGTTGCTCACTCATTTTGCGCCGGCCCTACGCTGAAAGATGTAGATGGCCATCATCTCTGAGCTTCATCATCCCGGTCTCGGTGCACCGGCGCGCCTGGCGCGGTTTGACAGGGAGAGGGTTGGTCGTTTGCGGAGTGCGTTGGCCCAGTCAAAACCTAAAAAAGACAAGTTACCAGTGGAGATGGCCGGAGAGCAACGGAGGAAGGTGCTGTTTGGGCTGGGGGACTGCAGGAACCGCAGTTTGCACGTGATGAGTCTGGCTCAGCGCTCGGGAGCTGGGGACTAGTGGGGACCTGGCGATGTCGTCCGCCTCTTTGTGGAGCTGTGGCATGCTTTGGGGCTAGATCGTGACTCGCGCAGCCGATCACGGCGCAGGACAAGGTTCCCAGTTTTCTTTTTACTTTTGGAGATCGAACTTCACAATCCCTTGTTCACTTCAGGGCCTATGGTTTCAGTTGAGGAGGCGATCCCCGTCACCCCGACGCCATCACAGACCCCCCCGCTCCCCAACAACTCCCCCTCGGTTCCGCAGCCCTCGCGACCGCGCTCGCAGTCCTGCTGGACGCCTACAGCATCCTCGTCCTCGCAGTCCTGACCGAGGCCGTCCTTGCAGTCCTGACCAAGGCCGTCCTCGCAGCCCTCACAGTCATCCTCGCAGCCCTCCTGTCTTGTCTGCGCAGCGCATCCAGGAGATCAACAACGAGAGGGCCCGGCGCGGACTTCCAGCCCGACGGGCAGCTCAGCTACGTCGCAACGCCCGCCGACCGCCGCCATGTGGCTCGGCATCGCAGCCAGTCGTGCATTTTCGGGTTGAGGCGCTTCATACCACTGTCACTTCATGTTTTAGGCAACTCTAACCTAGGAGGGCCAGCAGGCAGGAGGGTCTGGAGATCAGGCGCAGGGAAGACAAAAAACATCGTTAGCAGCTTGAGAGCAGCTGGTACTTGCACTCATGGGTCATGACACCGCTCCGCGCAGGTCCTGCCATCAGCCGTTTGGAGTCAGCAGAATGGCGCCCGCTTCTTCGTGGGCGGGTTGAGCAGCGGCACAGACTTGCCCGAGCTTCGGCGGCACGGTGTGCCCCTTGTCGTGGTGCGCCTCGACCGCATGCCTTACGATCCGCCGCAAGTGGCAGATCTCCGCTATGTCCAGAGCCTTGGCTTCTCAAGTCCATATGTTCTGCGACGTGGCATGTGCCAGCTTCTGTCTTTAGCATTGCGGAAAATCAGCACAACTTGAGGTGGAACATTGGGTATGCGCCGCAAGCCAAATCGGCCTTCGACCAGGGCATTTGCCCTGCGGTCAACGAGGCAGTGATGGCTGGCCACGGGGTGCTCTTCCACTGTGGCAAGGGCAGGCATCGCTCTGCCCTAGCAGCTGCAGTGGCCCTGATGGGTCAGTTTCACAAAGCCTACTCCTGCCAGGACCTGCTTGCCAGGCATTGAACCAACAGTGAGGTGGTCTCCCCGAGCAGTCAATTCCCCCCCCACAAAGGCGCGAGTCAGAGTAATCCAAGAGCCACCAATGGAATCTAAGTTGTGTTTTCCTGAATCTTAGTTACAATTGTTGGAGTTTTTATGTTGATTAGATTTTGAATTGGACTCATTGTCTAAGTAGGACTGTTATTTGAGTTTTATTGAAGTCCTTAAATTGAATTTCCATGTACGGTTTGTATAGTTAGAATTAGACTTCAATTAGAATTTAGAATGGAACCTAGTAAGGTGCTTGAATTACACTCATTTTGAATTAGAAGCTGAATTGTAACTCCTTTTCCATGTAGGAGTTTTTGTTCTAGCTGGAAATCACTGACAATCTAGTCATGAATTATACTTCAATTATAGTTTGCAAATTGTTAATCTATTTGCACGCGTATTTGGAAATGGACTCTGGATAGGAGTTCTTTTCCAAGTATGTGTTTAGTTTTAATTTGGTTGGAATACCAAACCCTCAGACAGAAGGTCCCCTTGGCCAGCCAATTCTTTCAGGGAGTGTTTCTATTCCGGATGTCTCGAGGTTGTTTGCTGTGTCCCATGTTGCTTATGGTGGAGCAAGCGCACAAGAACCCTTCCTGCTGTTTGAGCAGTTGCTGTAAGAGCATGTTTGCGAGCACAGGAGGGGGGACCTGCAGTGAGCTCTTTGAGCGCGGCGCGCGGCTTGGAAAGCACGGTTCCCTATGTGCCACCTTTTCTGTAACCTTTTCTAGGAACGGTTTTGCAGATTTCGATGCGGGTTTATATGTGAGAAAATGCGTTTCCCCCCCTTTTTTGGGGTGGGTCTTTTTGATTTTCCGCAAACCAAGCCTTGCAAGGAGCACCTTCAACACACCCCAGCACCACTTCCCCCGATCAAGCCCAAGGCATGCCCAAAAGCCCATCTGTCACTTGGAACCTCCCAGAGCACGCCTTTGCGGATTCCCTTCAAATCACTATTTGGACTGGAATTTTGCGGATTTGAATGGACCCCAACCTTTTTGGTTGCTGAAAGCATGGAACCCAGTCCGGAGGCCTGAGTTGCTGCGGCCATGCATTCAATCGATTTGTTTTGATTGCGCCCCTTTTACAAGTTGTGTAAGGCAAAGAGGCCTCTTAGCAGTTTGTTTCAGGCCCGTCGACATCAAGTCATAGAAAGGCTGAGGTTACTGTCCCAGCAAGCTTTAGGGGAGTTTTGTTTGGCTCAGGGGACCGTATGGTTCAGCGAGTGGCAACAAATACATCCGAACCTCAAAATGATCGCAAGCTTCCATTTGCTTAAGAATATGTGTGATTTTTCACTTGTTGGTTTTGAAGGGACTCTATGACTACTGAACATATTTGCACTTTGTCCAGGAGACCTAAGCAAATGGAGACAAGTGTAATTAGAAAATAGATAGTGGGTCCTGCAGTGGGTCCTTTTGTTTTCCTTTTGCAGGGTCCAGTTTGTACTCTAGAATTTCTCAGCACTTTTGTTTCACTTCCCGGGTTCTTCCATTCCAATGATGTCAACCAACGAAACAACTGGAGGTGTCTTCCATGGAAAGCTGGGTTTTGATGAAATCGGCCGTCCCGCAAGATCAGCCAGCCGATATTCGGAGTAGCTCACTCCCCGAGTTCCTGGACTTCAAGCTTTTTGGGAGGACCATCTTGGCGGTAAGCAGCAAGTTCGTATTCGTACTTTTTGCGTTGGCCAATCCACTCAGGAAGTTAGTCGGGCAACCCTTAGTTGGTGGATTGGATTGGTTTGGGGATTTGAACCCCTGGTTCGTGTCGAGGGTAAATTTGAGAAACTCCTCCATTTCACCACCAAACCACCAATCCACCGGGCTCCAAACCACCCTTTTCCAGAGAAGAGTTAGTGAAACAGTGGGCAACCACCAAACCAAACCACCAAACGGCCAAACCAAGCCACCCTTTCCGAACGGGCTGGATCATTTTCCTTCACCGGGCACAGGACCCCATTTTTATTCTTCCCATCGACTCGGAGAGAGGTGAGCCAAAAATCAAGATCTTGGTAGATGAAGGTTAGCAAGGGACAATCCCAAGCCTACCTAGCTGCGGAATTCCGCCTTCTTATTTCTTTACTTCTGGGTAGACCGTTTTAATACCGGGTTTTGAGCAAGTGACTCAGGTGACGGCCGGCTGCTGGCGCTCGGGCACCGCGGGGGGCTGGTGACTCTGCGCGCCTTCGAGGCGGAAGTTGGGCGGATCTGGCGGATGCGGAAATGGAGCAGGGAGCCTCAGGTTTTTTTTTCGGGGTGTCTCAAAATAAGGGGGCCTGTCTGGGTGGTGTTGGAAGGAACCCGGAAGGATAGCCGTTCTGGAGGGGTGTCCAATTTTGTAGAAACACAATTAACTGTGGTTGGTGGATATGAATCTTCAACTCCTAAATTTTGTCATGCTTTGTACAGAAAACATGCAGTCTTTTTGTTGGTGAGGGGGAAACTCGTGAGATCATGAATCCAACAAATCGGCCATGGTTCCAGACAATTTGTCCTTTCGTTTGGGTCAGGTCAAATTTTGCATCGAAGGGTCATTTGGGCCATCGCGGTAAGTGAGCGGGCAAGTGATTTGTAGCTCCTGCCGCCTGCCCGCCTACTGGGACATCCTGATATGAGTGTCCTCCTTTTTGACCATGTGCTTGTGATTGTTTTGAGGGGAAAGCAAAAAGGGAAACCACCAATGGTAGGTCCCTTGTTGAGAGACACTCCGCAACAGCGAGGCCGCCCGAGTCAGCTTCGATCCGGCTCAACTCGATCCGCGATCCGCTCGCAGGGCGGGGCGTGGCTGGAAGTGGCGCGGGCAAAGGCTGGCCAGAACGCGTGAGGGAGATAGGTGGATCGGTCACGTCTGAAGCCCAGAGAGTTGTGACGCCCAGTTGTGCCCTTGTTATATTTTCCTTGGAGGTGGGTCCCTCTAAAATGAAATACCCCAAAAAACGGCTCCTTTTTGGTTTGCCTTGAAAATCGACGACCAGCAAGAAAGCTGCTCTTTCTTTCTCATGGCAATTTGCGGGGGGTTCAGGTTGCAAGTCCGCACCAAACAAACAACACGACAACCAAGAGGACGCCCTTTTGGCTTCGGCCGAACGGCTGGGTGGGGGGGGTCGGTTCTGTAAAGTCGGATGTCCGCCTTTCTGGGTTCCCGATTGACTAGGTCCCCCAGCTAGGTGCCCTTTCTCACCCCTTTTGGTCAACCTTGATGTGTTTGTGTGTCTTTCCTCAATGGCCTTCTGATCTATAAGAGGCCACTTTCCATTCAATTGAAGCCAGGCTCGGCGTGGCAACAGAGGTTTGGTGTTTTTGTTTGAGGCTTGGTACCCTTTTCGGGTTGGTTTACCGGGGACATGAACAGGACACCACTTCTCTTGGCAGGGGGGATTCCTCTATTGCTTGAGACGCATATCCAACATAGGAATGGTCATTTTTTTTGGAACTCGATTCACCCAGAACTGCCGGCGCTGGTAGAGCAAGCAAACCCTTGGGGTTGATTCCACTATTGAAATCCACTTGTTGGGGGTTGATTCCATTTAACATTCCATGTTGGCGGGAAATCCACCAAAAGGATCATCCTGGCACTGGACAGGTCATACGTCATACCCAAATTGCGTAAATCTCGCGGCTTCTCTGAAAGCACCGGCGGATCAGCCAAGGAAACGGGCGGAACAAAAGGGAAGGCTCAAGAAACAGAGGGTGAAACATGGGAGCCCTACGTCACTTTGAACGGGTGACCAGGGGAAGTGCTCTTGGATTAATTAATTGGGAGACAACCTCTTTTTGGGAAGAACCGCTCAGTCCGCAGAAAAAGGCATGTCTCTCGCATGTGGGCGAAGCCGCCTCCATGGCCAACATCTGAGCAATGCTACAAAGAAAATGGGCATGAATCTCATCTAGGTCCTCCAGTAGAGAGGTTAGAATAAGTTGGTACCCGTTTTTTTTTCTTTTTTCTTTTTTTCTGTAGTCTATTTTAGTAGGGGAACCCTCCAAGCTGTTTTGAGACTTCTGAGACCGTGAACGGCTAGGCGCGTTTGTCTTTGTGCTCCTCAAAGACTTGGCGCTTGATCTACGGGCCATCCATGGGCACCTTTTTGGTTTCGTGTGGCTCGTCTTCTTTTGGAGGCGGCCATTTTCCGGTTTGAAGGGAAGCCGAAAGGAACCCCTGGGTATGAATGTGGGGCTGTCCCGGGTTTTACTGAGGATTCATCACTTCTGGAGGGGAACACACCCATGCTGATAAGCAGGGGTTTATTAGTCCGGGGTCAACATTAGATTTCTTTCTTTTTTGCCCCCCGAGCAGTAGGTCTTGTTGCGTATAATTCATCCCAGTGGTGGATTCCGCACCAAATCCAAGGGGCATGACTGCACAGCGGGTCGCAACTGGAGTCTCTTCCAGACCTATGTGGCTAGGTCCCCCAGCTAGGTGCCCCTTCTCACCCCTTTTGTGGTTGGGAGGGTTCCCCCACTAGAATAGACTACCGAAAAAAGGGTACCCTTATTCTAACCTCTCTACTGGAGGACCTACGTGGGTTTGTCCTTGTTTGAGGGTAATTTCCCCTTTTTGTGTTTTGTAACGGGATATCATGAAAACCTTCCGTTCATTTTGGGGGTCCCCTACAAAAAGACACCCCCATGTTGTATTTCGGGGAGACTAACAATGAACCAGACATCAGGACGTATGTTTCAGTATGCCCCAGATTTAGGCCAAGGAAAGATTGAGTTTGGGGAGGAGGTTCGTTTCTCGCAACCCATTTGCCAGGGATTCATTTCTGTCAGCCAATGTCCGGTGAAGAAGATAAATGGGCTTGGTGGACCCACCCAGTTGTTGCGTAGCACCCTTTTCCCATTTTCGTTGACGGATGTTCCACTACTGCAATTAACCAAACCAACAAGGATTACGGAGCAGCAAAGAAGCAAGGTCACCGCATTTAGAGTATTTGCAGTTCTTTGCATTTGCGTTTTTAGAGTTGTTTGGTTGGTGCTTCAAGCAGTCATTGTTTGCAATCGTACCGTTTGGGAAGGAAAGGTTGTGCTTGTACGACCAGGGTTTGTCGCTTTTTTGGGGGAGAACCCGTTTTCAAGAGAAGCCAGACGGGGAACCAATGCCCCTTCGGGGGGTCCCCCACAAATGAGACAGAAAGACCCCAGGGTCGCTTGGTATCCAGGTTTCGCACCACGAGTGGGAGACTGTGACTCTCACAGCCCTCAGCGCGACTCAGCTGAAAATTTGTGTGTCGCAAGGGAGCGAGAGCTCCCCAAAATGGTGGCGTTCCTTTTTTTTTGCCAACCTGAAACCGGGAAACCCCCAAATTCACAAACCTTTGTATGTCTCTATTTTGGGTGTTTCCCTTGAAGGGAAACCGAAATCCATTTTCAGGGTCCCCGAACATCCACACCCATGTGGACCAAGATCTGACCCTGGCCAAGCCGTGGAGCATCAGACATTGCAGTCACGCAAGTACACTCTCGAGTCTGTGTCATGCTGTTCCCAAAATGGATTGGCCAGAATTGGCCAGACACTGTGGATGGACGAAATCCTGCACCACCTAATAAACCCTGGAATGATGATTCCCCTGTAAATACCAACAAACAATGGTTTTCTCATGGTTTCAAAGTGGTGCAGGATTTCGACCATCCACAGTATGCACACTCAATTGCCTTCTTTCGCCTTGACATGGCCGTCGGATTTTTCTTTGAGAAGAACAAAACGAAGAACTGGCATGTCCAGGGTCTCTGGAAAACTTGGTAGGGCCACTTTCTTTGCTATCCTTGTCCTGGGCTGGCAGACTTATCACAAAAATGATGATTTTCCACAACCATGTTGCTTGAACCTTCATGGGGGTCTATGTGAGTGTGTAGCTTTTGGAGGGTACCCGTTTTGGCGTTTTTGTCAGGTAAATCAATTGGAAACCTTGGCCGACGTTGCTTGGTGCGTGTCGCTCCCTTCACTCCTAGGATGATGGTGGACTTCTCCTTGCGGCGAGCGAGGAGACCCAGAATCCCCCAATCGCTCAGGTGAGACGAGTGACAGCCATGATGAAATATGATTCAATGATGAAACTGCCTTCAAAGTTGACTCGAGATGAATAAACCACTGCTTATGAATATGGGGGTGTCCCTGGTTTAGTGGGGATTCGTCACTTTTGAAGGGGAACAGCCCCATATTCAGAAACAAGAGTTTATTAATCCGGGGTCAGCATTACCTGGGGCTCTTTCAAAGTACTTGGGACTTCTCGTACTCCATGACTTGAGGTCATAGATGATCCCTCCAAGTATGTCAGCAGAATAGGAATTCTAGAAAAAAACAACATGCTGATGAGTTGTGGTCGTTGGACACAAGTAGGTGGCCGGCTTTGCAAGGGGTTGTTCGCCAAGTCTTCAAGAAGGATTGTATAGTGTTATTTACGAGGCCTGGCAAAGTGAGCGAAGGGCGAAGTGATTCACTCATGTCCCATGTCCCGCTCTTCACAGGTGGCTGCCAATGCGCGAACTGAGCCTCCTGGCATAGTGGATCCCACCCAGTTGCTATCTCTCTGAGTCTGGACCATGGCAACCGCTTGATTGCTGTTGGGTTGGAGCTTTAGACTGTGACTTTTCGGGAAATAGGGGTTTTCCATTGAACCCAGAAACAGTTTTCCCACCATTTACAAGGCAATGTTCAGGTGTATAATGTAAGGATCCCTGAGTTAGCAACCAAGACCCAAAGTTTGGTTCCTCTTTTTGGCCATAGCTGAGACTGCCGCCGTGCAAGGACGTGAAATTTCGGGTTTGATCGAAACAGCGCGCGAGGACAACGTGATGCTCTTCCGGTTGGAGGCAGATGAGGTGACGGAGGTGAAGCACCTGCATGGGGGCGCTACCCAGGTTGGGCTGCCAGGTTTTTTTGCGCGGGGCAGGGTCAGTTGCCAGTGGGCTTTCGTGGGGTGGATCCGCGATTTTAGTTTGCTCCTGCCTTTTGAGGTGGGCTGCCTTGGGTTGCCAGAGGATGGGTGTGTTTCAAGATACATGGGTGTGGCTCAAAATTAAAGACCTAGGGTTACGCAGGTGTTAGTCTTTGTTTCCATTTACCAAGGTGCCATTTTGGTACATTTATTTGAGCCACACACACACATGTACCACCACGGTTTCTACATCTACCTGGTGATCTCTTGAAGCCTGTGAGGGTTTAGCCATAGATTGCAAGCCCAACTTGCGCCACATTTTCTCGGCTTCACCCCGCACGGCCAAGCCCCAGACCTCCAGACCTGCGGGGGTCAACCGCCCCCCCCCCCGCGCCAGATCTCTGCGGCGTGCATCGCGGAGCTCTCCGAGAAGCGACACCTGGCGGTGGTGGCCTACCAGAGAGGGGGCTTAGAAGGCTTGGCAATGGGAAAGGGAAAGACGAGCCGATCCTGAAAGCAAAACCTTCTTGTGGTCCCATCTCAGTCCGCAAGACCCGATTTTTTTTTTTTTGATGAGGCCTGGAGGGGGTTCAAGGCCCGGCATGTTTAGGGTGAATTGGGCTCCAAGGGTACATTGGGGTGAGTGATTCGACCCAGATTTGTTTTTTCGTTTGAACTCGCACACAAGGGCCCCTCTTAGGCGCACTTGGCCTATCTAGGGAGTTTCCATGCACAGAGTTCGGACTCACACAACTCCATGGAGCTACGGTTTTCCTTTTGGCGCCCCTTGGCTGCAAACGGGTCCCCAGGTCAAAAGAAGGACGGCATAGGCTCAGCTGGAGCGAGTTGCGAGTTTGCCGGTTGGCGTATTCAAGGTCGGATTTGTTTGGGGAGGTCTGTTTTTTTTGGGAGTTGGTAAACATGTGGCTTAAAAATAAACATCAAAGCCATTTTGGCGGGTTTCTTAAAAAAGTTCACCCCCAGCCACGTGCCCCAATGTGCGCCTTCGATGGTCGGCTCCTTCTAGGCAAATCCTGGTACGTGTTTGGTGACCTCTGGGTGGTTACCTGTGAGGTTTGCTGGGTGGGTCACGCATGTTGTTACTTCTAGACCCAAACTGTCCCGTTGAAAAAGAACATCAACAGGAGTCTCGGCATAACATTGATTTAACGTCTAACGAACCTCTGCAAGCCTTCGGTTGGGTTGAAAAGTCACGAGCTGCAGCGAAAGTAAATAAGAGACTGAATGGTTGCCCACATGTTTGCGCGATGATGTTGACATGAGTTGGTTTCGACTGCTCCATTTGTTTTTGATAGTAGTTCACCAACCAGTGTGTGGATGTCTTCCTCTGTAGATCAAACCACCATCAAGAAACCACCAAAGAACCGGCAAGACACAAAGAAGTAACAAGTAATCAGTACTTAACAAGTAACCATCAAGGAAACACCAACAGCTACCATACACACCGAGTGTCGTGTTTCAACACGTGACCGCCGACCCACCACGCAAGTCAGCAGGCAAGCACCAGAAGGAGAGGCAAGCTTTGGCTAGTCAAGAAGTGGCTGTTAATTTTCATCAAATGGTGGCTGGGGCACGAACCCCAATGTAAATGAGGTCTGTCAAAAAGATTTGAATAGGGGGGAAACCCCGACAAATTGTTACTGAGCACAAGTCCGCCTTTAGTTTAATTGCTGACCGCAGAAAGGGTGTCCAATTTAGAACGTCACGCATGTAGCAAGAAGGTTGCCTTTTGCAGCGAGGTGAGTTTGATCACGTACGGTGGGTTTCACACTTAGAGAAAAGATTCCCTTGTTGCATGATGACTCGGGCGGAATCAAGTCCAACCCTCATAAGAATGGTTCCTGACGCATGAGTTTGGCCCATTGTTATTTTGGTGGCGACCGACCCTGGTTTTGTACCCCATTGGAATGCCCAGTGGTCTTCAAACAAGGTTCAAGAGCTGGGAACGCTGGCCCTTTTCACCCATTCGGGCCGAACTACCCCCACCTAGTCTGGGGGAAAAGAACAAGTTGCCCAAGAGGGCATGGTGGGGGAGAAGTCCGAAACTCAGGTTGCCCTACCATTCTCAAGTGAAAATTCCAGCCAGCGTCCCCAATTGCCCTGACTTGCAAAATCCAGGCACCGCCCCCCACCCCCACCGCCTACCCCCTACCCCCTACCTACCCCCGAAATGCCATGGATTCGCAGGCTGGACGGTGGATGGCCGGACACTCCAGGTGGCCTGGAAAATCCCCGGGGAACGGCCGATGGCGCGCCTGGCGCCTCGATTTCGATTTTTTGTTTGAGTCCGCGAGGTCGTTGCAGGGAGAGGTTACTTCCATCAATCTGCTGAAATGAAGATGTCTTATTCTCCCTTGTTGGTTTTAAAAAGGAATTTGTCACGACTATTTTGTTTGCAGGGGTCTGAACCAAATGGGGAAGGTACCCCCTGAGTTGACCACCAAACAAACCATCAATTAGAAGGAAGCTGATGAATGTTCGATTCGCCAAGTGAGTAAGTGGCAGCGGTACCCTCCAACCGACCAAGTGCACAGATTTCTGTAGAAAGACAACTTCCCTCTTGGAAAGGGGCTTTGTGCACTTCCATGTTAGTTGGTGGGAGGGTAACCTGGGTTATAACCCTCTTATGAGTCCCCCGGTTGAGTGGGGGTGAAGCCCATTCGGGGGCGGTGGTGCAAGGAGAAGTCCCTAATTACTCCCCAAAGAACCCGTTTCGGGAAGCCGTTTCGAAACGGGCTCTCAAGCACTCCCCCCTTCATACGGCTTGGGGATTCCAGATCTTGGGGGGTGTTTCAAAGGGACACCAACGGGAAAGCGGAAGCCGCGCTCATTTTTGCGGCGCTAGAAAGCACACCCATCTGGATCCCCTTTCCGCGTCGGCCGGCTTTCCGAATCAAAAACTCAAGGCCAATTTCCTGGGCAACTTGTCTTGCTCAGGTTCTGAGTTGGTGTTTCAGGGATCCTGAACAGCAGTTTCATGCAAAAATGGGTTGGTCTCAAGGGTTGAACACCGCTCACCTCGAAGCCAAGGTTCCGTCAAGGACGCAGGTGTGCTGAAGATCATGATCCCATTTGGGTCCGCGAAGCAGAAAGTAAATCCACCGATTTCAAGGGGAACGTATTTGTTGGACATACTGTGAAGTCGACGTTCCGTGTCGGTGTTTTGCAAAAAGCCGAGCAGGTTTAGGCTTGTTTGGGGTCTCCTCTAAGACTATTTGATGTTGTATTGGGTAGACGAAATGAGAAACAGAACCTGAAACCCATTTGTTTCTAGAAGCACCCTTTACTACTTTGCTTAGGCATGTTTGGCTGGGGTCGATTTGGCAGATGGGTGGATTCATTACGTGACCTTCTGTTTTCACCACTTTGCGATTGCTCCCACTTAACGACAGCTTGCCTTCTTGTTACGGCACGTTTCTGTTGGGCTGTTGAAGGGACACCAACAGGAAAACAGCCAGTTTGGATCGCCTGCAAAAGACCAGGGAAGAACATGTCTGGTTGGTCCATGAGTTCATTTTTTTGGGCCACATGACCTCACAGACGCCATTGGCCATAAGCACACCTGAGGATGCGGCGCTTGCAGCGGAAGCTTGGCTGCAGATGGCACATGTCCCCTACCCCTACCCCCCTTCCCGGACGGGCGGGTGGACATACATACACATGCATACATGCTTGCATCTATGCATGTGTATTGTATGGTATATATATATATACTATAGCCTATACAGGCTGCAAGACCCCAAGACGATGCATGCGCTTCTAGCAAGTCCAAGGTGGACTGTACATGGACAATATCCATCCATTTGATGCCATGATTCCGACATTGTGGACCATCAAACGCACTTAAGACTGTCTCAGAAGCTCTCAGCAGAATGAGTTGTATTATGTTAAATGGCAATAAGCATTTCATGCTCAGCGAACACAATGCATCCTCCTTTTGTCAATGATGAATCTTTGCGATTAAAATATCTTTGGTGAGTGCCAAGCCTTCAATTTTGTCAGGGGCCCAACAGAAGGTTTGCCTACTCCGCACTGTGCGCCGTGATGATTCAAATCAATATTCTTCCAAAGGGTCACGCGCGGGTAAAAATCGAGCAACTAGGAAAGCACCGGAAAGCACTTCGAGTACGACGATTCGTGGGACAGCACAGCATGTTCGTGCATGTTCAGAACGCAACACGGAAAACCCTGAACTCAACACATTGAATTCGTGTGAGCAAGCGCACCGTTTTGCAGCTAGTACTGTCCGACACATAGGTAAAACGATCCCAAGCGTGCATAGCCATTTAGTTGTACCCCCTCCACACCGGACAAATTCCAGCAACAACTGGGGACATTTCAGAAGTATAGTCACATACACTTTAACAAGCAAATACCTAAGTCTTCCTCCAAAACGGCTTGCAATTTCACCAATGCGAGCCTCAGCTTGTGGCGCGTGCTTCAACCCATACGACTTTGTGCGGTCGTCCGAGGACTTGCCATCCATGCTGTTAGCGGCTGCGGGCACCGATGGCAGCGTCACCGTTGCTCAGATTACGAATGAATTGCGGGAAGGGGCGTCTTGTCTCTTATCTCCCGTTGGGTTTATACGGGTTTTCCTTGGAAGTTACTTATGAATACGTATCAGTGATTGGGTTTACTGGGGTCGTCTTTGAGAGTTACTTCTGAATACGTCGCAAACGAAAGAAAGTGCTGATTGGGGCAAAAGCTGGAGGTTAGATCAACGTGTCCAATTGGGTTTGTTTCCGCTTGGTGTTCCATCATGTTACGTCGGGTTTGATCAATTGGCGTAGGCTCATGCTCTTCACCATCGATAGATAGGTCATTGCTTTTTTGGGCTATGGAAGCCAGTGGGCCATTCATGGCAAACTTGCCCCACTTCGCGCAAAACTGCCTTGCCAAAACGTGTGTTGAGGAGAGTTTCTTGTCTATGTGTTTTGCCCCGAGAAATATGGTGTGTATCTAGCCAGGGGGACCGCCACAACTGTGCGGCGTCCAGGGTGTTCTTCTCTCTAAACCTGGGCCGAACCGGGTATCCTCAAAATCACACATATCCCATATGTGCCATGGTCAAGCGACCCCTTGTCATAGATTTGGCCCCTTTACTGGGGTTGAGGGATAGTCATCCTGGTAGTAATGATCCTTAATAACAATTGTAATTCATAGTCTCGATTCCTTTTAGTGGAACCATTGAGGCCAAACACACGGAGTTTTGACCATGGCCACGAGGCTTGGTTTGCCGTCGAAGGGACCTGTACTGCCAGCCCAGTGGCGGCATCCAACATTGGGTACCCATTTTGAAGTTGGGTTCAGGAGAAGCCAAGAGGAAACCAAGGAATTCGGCCGTCAAGCTATTTTACATACGGTACTTACCCTCACTCCCCGAGTTCCTTGGACTGTAGATAATTTTATGTTTTAGACAACTTCAGTGGTGGATAAGAAAAGTTCCTGGACTTTGCTTGGTCCATCTCAAGTGTGGCAAGGGTGCCCCTTCTTTCCCGTTGGATCTCTTTTGTAGCTGAAAGCTTTGGTTGCAGTCTCCCAACTCCTTGTTGTTTCTCCAGAGATCTTCCGGAGGACCCGTAGGACTGGCACTTGGCAGATCCGCTTGCCAGTGCCACCTTTGTATTCTCATTCTTTTTCGGGAAGTTTGTTTGTTTTGTTTCGTTTTTGTTGCGACATTTCCCAATCACAGGGCGAGTCTGAGTTTGATTTTGGGAGGTGCCTAGATTGGAGTCTGAGTAGTTTTGACAGGTTGTGTATTGAATGCGGCCACGTTCCCAAGTCTGAGAATGGGTGGCTCGTGTTTTTTTTGTTTCCGAGGGTGCCTATTTTGGGTGTGCTTGAAAGGGACACCAACAGGAGAACCTATTTTTATGTTTAGGGGTGCGGATTCCTCTTCCTCGCAAAAGCAACTTTGTCGGAATCTCTCAGGGCATCCACCCAAGTAGCCCTTAAGATATGGTTCGGAGCACCTTTAAACCCAAAACAATTAGGGGGAAGCTGAATCTTGGGGCACCCATTTTAAGAGAAGCCAACGGCAACGCCGGCCATTGGTGTGACGGTAAAGCCAGTTCAGCAGCTCACCAATCCAAACCAATCAGAGGGAAGCTGGAGTTTGAAGATCTTAGGTTGTAGCTCCTTGGTGAAGCAGGGGTCTGCTTACCCCAGTTCCTAGGCTCCCTTCCAATTGCCAGGCAGAGGGTAGTGAAAAGAAGCTCCAGCTCTATCCGCTCCAAACCCCAGCTAGAGCTAGAGGGGGGAAGCTCCACCTAGGCGCCCTAGGCGTTGGACTCGCTCGAGTCAGCCTTCGCGGCCGGGGAATCGGCGCTGAGGTTTCTTTGGTGCATTTTGCCAAGGGATGTTTAGACTTTAACTTTTTGCCGACGAAGAGGGGTTTTCCGTATTAAACCACAAACAGTTAGTCACTTTTAGCAGGCCTTCGCAGATTTCGCAACCGAGTAAAGGGTTAGTAGGGGACAGCCCTAATCATCCATTGTTCAGGTGCAGCCGCCCTTTTGGTTTTGTTGGGGGGGTGGGGGGGTTGGGTAGAACTGTTTCAGGATTACATTGTTTGATCCCTATGGGAGACGACAGAATCCCCCCATATCCCCGCTCCCTCCATATCCCCGCTCCTCCCAAAAAGGGAACCCTCAAAAAACATGATATGTATCTATATATATATATACATATACATATATACATACATATATATATATACATGGTATATATGTATGCACATGTCTATATGTATGTACATGTTTGTATGTAAGTACGTATCTATTTCCGTTGTCAAACCAACAAGCGGGGATACGGAGGGAGCGGGTCCCCAGACCGAGGTTTGGTCCCTCACCGCCTCGGGCGCCTTGGCCTCGCCGGCCGCCGGGCGCTGGAGCAGCGGCCCGCGCTCCGGCGCGGCCAGCTGCCGGGGGGCCCAGGGGCCCAGCGGCCGACGTCGGCCGGGTCCAGGGTCGAGTCTGAAACTTCCATGTGCTGTCTGAAACTTCCATGTGCTGAAGTTTTTGTTCCCTTGTTGGTTTTTAAGCTTTTCATGTGTTGTTTTGAAAAGGAAGGAAGTTATCCCTTTTATCACTATCGTCCCCCAACGGCTGAAAGGTACGGTAAGGGGTCAGCCCGGAGAAGGTTTAGGGGTGGGTCGGGGAGCTCAGGAGTCAGGTTCGAGCAAGGTTCCGGATGGGGTGGTCTGGTGCAGGCCAGGTGTAAGGTTCAAGGAAGGTTTACTTGAAGGGGCGATCGATTTGGTTACCTCAGGGAAGCGGTTAGCAAGTCTGATATAACCCCACTGAAGAGAGACTATGATCATGGCTTTTGTGAGCTATCACAGGGCCGCTGAGCAGTTGCCATTCTTGGAAAGGAATCCTTCATAACCATCTTGGCTCACTCCTCGGCTGACTCCTTGGCTGTCCTTCCAAGGATCCTTGCACGAATCATTCATTCCAACCATTCTTAAGAAACCGCCCAAAAACCCAAAGCTTTTGTGCTCGGTTGATCCCAGTGTCTGCGGAAAGTTATCCGCTAGGCCTGCGGCTGCTGCGCATCAAGCCCGCGCTGGTGGGGATCCTGCGCTACGGCAAGGAGGCCCCGCAGTGGCTCCTGGCCACTGGCTTCCAGAAGGCGCCGAGAACCGGAGCGAGCGAGAGAGAAGCGGAAGTTGTTTGTTGGGACCAAGCGGTTTTTGCAACATGGAAGTCAAACGGTAGGTGGTTGTTTGGAGACCCAAGCGGTTTTTGTCACATGGAAGTTAAGCACAGTTGGGGTTGCCCAAAAAAAATGGCGGTTCCGGCTTTTTGGACGTTAAAATGAAAGTCAATCACAGTTACTGGTTGCAAAACTCAGGTTTTTTGACACTGGAAGTCAAACACAGTTACTGGTTGCAAAACATTCCGTTCCGACTCCGGTGAGCTCCCGAAAAAGAGCTCCGATTGCCTTTCTCCATTGCAACTTGGATAAGTCGGGCAGTCACGGGCTTCCGCGTTGATGGCGAAGTGAAGGCGGGCGAACATGAAACAGGGGTCAAAAGAACAGGCACTCCCAAGGTTTCAAGGTTTGACAACGTAAATTGATACATATATATATATATATATACACAGATTAGTGTTTTTCGAGGGTTCCCTTTTTGGGGGCAGGGGTTTAAGGGAAACCAAAAGCAACACCACCCTTTGGGGTCTCCCTATGTTGACACACACTAAAAGCAGGCCAAGAAGGAGAGGTAAACAAAAAATATGGTGTTTTCAGTTCCTACATGGCGGGTGTTCCTTGTAAGCAACTGAAAGTACTGAGGGAGACGGCTTGACATGTCTCAAATTGGGCTTTGATTGCCAGCACTCCCAACGACTGATTTTGCCCGTGTTCAAAATCTCAAGCAGTGTCCAAACAGCATCCCTCAATGACTCAAGGAAGTGGACATGGGACAAGCACAAACACAGTTCTTTGCAGGATGCTGGTCGGAATGTGTTGTGTTCGCTAAGGCAACAACTTGGAATCTGCTTCTAGTGTTTTAAGGTGGTGAAGACTTGGTTGACGCGCAAAGCTCAAGCTATAAGCCTTAATAACTGTCCAGTGGTCCGTGGCCTGGGACCATCTTGAACCAAACCAGCCGGCTGCCCAAAAAACAAACAGGTTCTTTTGCAGGAACTCCCATACATTGACAGCTCATATGCCCCGTGGGCTTTTCTGTTTATTCGCATGTTTCGCTCCCCCGAAACACGAAAACGAGAAGTTCCGATGGACGAAATCGATTTCGTGCCAGGTAGATGATGTATCCCATGGGCTGGATTCATCCCAACTGGGGCAGGAGTTTGTAAAAAAAAACAATCTTGTTGGGGTGTTTCACTGTTTAGAGGTTGTTTTTTTGCCATTTTGAGGATGCCCCGAGAAGGTGGATCAAGATTTAGCAAGCATTAAGGTGACATCCTTCAAAGTCAATTCAAGTGACCCTAAACAAGTTCTTTTTGAAAGTGTCACTCCTCAAAAGTCATATAGGCCAAACCATAGCAGTTTACTTCTCTAATCCACCCCTTCCCCACAACCCCATTCGGATTAGATAGGCCTTCATACTAGGTCCCCTCTGCCATGTACATCCACAGTTGCAGGCAGGGAGCAATAGACTCTGTTGAGATCCTGAAAGAAAGGTCCCTTTTCTACTTCCTGAGTTCATGGACTTCCGCCCCTTGTTGGTTTCGGACCATCTTAGTGGTACGCAAAAAGAGATCAAAGACTTTTGGTTGGGGCCGTCCACTCGGAAAGGTCCCTTTTGCCCGACTAGTTGGACGAGTCAAGGGGTGCAGACTCCAAGTCGGACGCGCGAAGGAGGTGGTGGTCCTGGACCCGCTGACCGGCTCCGAGCTGCAGCGGTTCAAGGGCCGCCAGCCGGTGGCGGCTTGCCAGTGGCGCTGAGTGAAAAAATGGAGCGAAGGGTCGGTTGCTTTATTGGGTGTGTATAAAACAACGCGCATACTTGTGTGATTCTTTAAAAAAAAGTACAACACCTGGCATTGGGTTGTTTTTTCCTCTTTTTTTTCCTCTTTTTTTTTGGTAGCGGCTCTTTGGACTTTATTTTTTTGGTTGGAGGGGTCAACGGCAACCAAGTTTGGGTCCGTGTTTTGTTTGAGGCGTGTTCCAGATCTCAGGCAACCCTTAGATGGTGCTTTGGATTGGTGGATTTGATTCCCTGGTTCTTTGTTGAGTGTAATAGGCCCGAATAGGCTTGTTCGGGGTCTGGGGCTTCCGAGGGGTTCCCTTTTGGGCTGTTGGGGATTCCACCTGGGCGTATATTGTTTGATGGGGGTTCCAGATCACATGGTTTTCTGCAGGCTCGATGCAGGTGGCTTCACGTTTGTGACCAGTGCCAAGGGAAGCCGTTGCTTGAACTGCCGCTTGAACTGCCGCTGCCTTCACTGGCTCCTGAAATCTAGAGGACTGCAATGAACCTCCCCATGTGTCCTGGCCTTTTTTCGTTTGGGACTTGTTATGCAACATGTGTTTCTGTGACCAAACGCGACACGACAAAAACGCGACACGCTGCGCCATAAAAAAGGCGCGACTTGAGAAATCGCTTCCGAAGGCGAATAGCTCTTGGCCTAGGAGTCTCGCTCGAAACTTTTCTGCGCGATGGCAACATTTGAGGCCGAGTCGGAGCGAGATGGGTGACTTCTTCTCTTTGGAGGGTACGCTTGTCAGGTTGGTTTAAAGGGAAACCCAACAGAACTCTGCCATTTTGGATTTTGGCACGCCCAGATGACTCCGTAAAGCCTTTGGCAACCAGCTTGGCTGGTGCTTGAATGCAGAAACTTGCGGATGGCCGCCTTGTTCAGGAGCATCATGAATCTGCCAATATGTTTGCGTCACTGCGATGCCTATTTACGTGATATTTGGGTCTGTCTTGTTTTGAGGACGGGTTGTTAAAAACGGAAACCTAAAGGAAACAACCCTTCTAAGGGGTACCCCTATTTGTTTGAGACACACCCATTTGGGCAAAGCATTGTTGGGCATGTCGTTGCGCGAATTTCGGTGCCTTCGGAGGTCAGCTGCCAAGATGTTTGGTGGATTTTACCGAAGCCAAAGATTCCAATCGTGGCCCATTTCTTTTTTTAGACATGGGCCCCCAAAGTTGCGGTGTTCCTTGCAACTTCCTTTAGAACCGCACAGCCCGCAAAGTTTGCGGGTTCCCTGCAAGTTTGGTGAAACGGATGTGAAGCTCCAGTTTTAGTGGCAAGGCCTTCGTATTGCCGGGTTTTGTGTTGCCCTTGGTTTTCTGGTTTGCACCCTTTCTCTGGTGCAAGCAACGGAGACAAAAAGCAGACCGCACACAGTGGTAAAATCCATGTTCAAAGCTCTCTGTGACTGGCACCATTGCCATGGTGCCTAAAAAGGTCTCAACTACCTTTCCCTGCTTTGTGGTCGTGCCAGCGCAGAGTTCTTTGGGGATTCCTACACCACACTGGCTTATATGGCCGGTTTTTTTTCTTCTAAAAAGCGGACGCCCAGAATGGCGGGGTTTCCTTTCGGTTGACCTTTAAGAACCACAAAAAAAAAAAAGCACCGAGAAATCACTTTTATCCTGATTCAATTCGCCAGGATTTCCCCGGCGCGGGGTACCTACGGCTGCGCGGCGCCTTGCCTGCATTCAGCTCAAAACCTCACCAACGTGTGGCCATTCGCTTAAAGGGGCATTCCACGTCAGGCAAGTGGTTGAGCCTGGTGAGAGAAACCACTGATCATGGTTATAAGTTACCGTTCAGTTTGTTATGTCACCAGGTTTACTAGCCGCGTACTAAGTGCCCTGCCCCTTTAAGCACTCAGTTGTTCAGTGGCTCCAATTATTATTTTTTTTGGTGGCTGCCCGACTAAGATGGTCCAAACCCCAAAAAAGGGTTCCCTTTTCTTTCCGGGGTCACTGAGCAACTGAGAGCACTTCCATTTAGCTGGATAGTTCATCATTGTCTCACTCCCTGAGTTCCGTTTCGGACTTTAGTCACTTTAACGGCTGGACCGTTTTAGTGGTAAACACAAAGTTTGGTTATTTTTTTTGGGTCAGATTATATTGAATATTATTTGTCCCTTTGGTTATCCAACAAAAGCAATCCAAGAGAACATCCATTTAACTCCCCTAGTTTAGATTGCTATTGCCAATTCCTTCCAATCCCAGTGGACACCCAGAAAGAGACCCCTACTAGATTTAGAGGGGTGCCCCCGACTCTTGGGGGGGGGGGGGCCTGACCATGGAAGAAAATTGTGCCCGCCATTCTACCAGGTTGGTTAATCCGGGGTTCTGTGGTTTTGCTTGGGAACGCACCTGATTGTTCCTTTCTTAGGGGTATGTTGGCTTTGTGAAACATGCTTACCCGGAAGGATGGGGATCTTCAGGATTCATCCAAAGGGCAACCAAACGTGTGCCGACCACGTCCAACTGATTTTGAGAAACATCCACAAGGACATCAAACCAATCATAGTGTTTTGGCCATGTACGCGTGTTCAACATAGGAATTCCCAAAATAAACACTGTAGCCGTGAACATGGTTGACATGTCCCGCTCAGGTAAACAGACAGTGCTTACAGTACCACATCAGCTTTTGGCTGCTAATGGTTGAGTTTGTGCTTTGGCGCCAGCTTGAGGAATTTGACCACACTGAGTGAGGTAAGCAAGGCAATCAGCGATCTATCAATTATGGATTTGCATCAAGACGAGGGTCTGTCTTTCTTATTTCCCCCAAAAATGGTGGGCATTCCTGTCGGTGTTCCTTTAAAACCACCAGAAACGGCGCAATTGTCGCCCAAAATAGACACTTACGGACAGCCCCCTCCGTGCAAATGGGGAAGTTGAGAGAATAGGAGAGGCGAGCCCTGATTTGAGGCCTCCCGTTCAGCGCTGGCACAAAGGAGGCAAGTCGGCTCGGGAGATGTGGGACTGGGAAAGGAGTTGCTTTCCATGATTTGCGGACACTTCATTCAGTGGGCTTCAAGCAGTTGCTATGACAACTGGTTGACAAACCACCTAGCTGGGTGTCTACTTTTTCTGTACCTGACGTTCCGTGGGAAATCCCTTCGCACCACTTTGAAACCATGGGAAACCATTGTTTGTTGGTATTTACAGGGGAATCATCATTCCAGGGTTGCTTAGGCGGTGCAGGATTTCGTCCATCCACAGTAGGGACCCGGATTAAACGGCTTTGAGTCGGGTTCCGATCTCTTGCAAAGGACAAGCGCGTTTGTTCAGGAGATTTGTTGCAGTGTGCGAAGCCAGCTTCCATTTGCTGAGATGCAAATTCTACTTTGCCCTCTTGGTGTTGAAGGGACACCGGAAATAGCAGCGGCAACCGGAATGATGTGAGTGACAGGTCTGTTCTATGTCCAGAAGTCAGCCAAACAGACCAGTGCTAAATGTTTGTGCTCGTGGTTTTCCATTTACCAGCGTGCAATTTTGGACTGCATGATTTTGGAGCAACAGCCAAATCACATCTTACTGACAGCCGGGTGTCAGGGTTTAGCCCAGCGCCAATGGATTTTGCAATGCTGGTCCTGCTCGTTTTTCCAAAACTGTGGATGGACGAACTCCATTTCGCGCCAAGAAACTCCGGAATGATCTGCTTCCCCTGCAACCAACAAATGTTCTGGTGTCAACCCTGGCTTCTTCGGGGGACTGACTACAGTGGAAAGTTGGTACCCTTATTCTAACCTCTCTACTGGAGGACCTAGGAAATGGATTTCCTCCGAGAGTAGGTTTTGGGTTGGCCCAAAAAGACGGTCAGGGCGCGTAAAGCGACGATCTTTTGAAACATGGGCTGGGAGCCGAGACTTGTTCGCGCCCGGAAGGCGAAAGGCGCCCATTTTGCCTTTTTGCATGGCTGATATGTGTGGCGTTTTGGCGCCGGTTCTGTGTCGGTTTTTTTGGAGGGCGCCTTTTTGGGGGGGTGGTTTTGAAGGGACGCCAAAGAGGAAATCCACTTTATGTGGTTTATGTGCTTGCTTTGTTTCTGTTTTTTTTAGGGCGGGTCCCCAATTATTGAACACGCCGGTGAGAGGCAGGGGCCCGTCTGGTTCTGCAGCATGACAACCAGAAATGGTCGTGGAAATTCAGGGGTCCAACTGGGGCCAAAGAGTTTCGCCCGGCCACCATCGGGTTGGCCCCGCCATGGGCTACGGAGGCTTCCTTTTGACCAAGTCTTCCATTTTGGGGGGTGCGAGGCAGGTCTGGGAGGGTGAACCAACTCCAACAAGACATGAGCCACCATCAAAACCCGGGTAGATGAAGGAACCAGAAAAGCTGCGGCCGCCTTCTTAATTCTTTACATGTTTCTGGGTCGATCATTTTAATACCAGGTTTTGATTATGAGTCACTTGGGGTAATGGTGGGTTTTGGAGGCAATGCTTTTTTTGTTGTTAAATGAAACGACAGCTCGGGACCGGTTTTATCTGAGGTCTCAGACTTCTTGACGGAGTTCGGGGTGATGGAGGCCCGTTACGTGCTCCAAGACGCACGGGTTATGACACCCCCTCAAAAAGGGACCCAAAGACCACCCCCTCAACACACAACCCGACTGAAGCAAAACCTGTCCATTTACCAGGTTTCCCTGTTACATAACTATTTTTGACAACCACAGCTATGTATTTGTTTTGCCTTTTACCTTAGTGGCCGTAAGGCTGTTTGCTTGCCCTTGACGTGATGAAGTCTATAGCTGGCTAGATGGTGATGGGCAAGTGCAGGTCGGCTGCTGCGACCAAGAACTAGAACTAGACGTGGTGACCTTCCTTCTTTGTCTAGGTCCCCCAGCTAGGTGCCCTTTCTCCCTTTTTTTGGGGAGGGTTCCCCTACTAAAAAACACTACAGAAACAAAGCATTGGATACCCTTATTCCAACCTCTCTACTGGAGGACCTAGTTGTAGTAGGCGCTGTTTGTGGTACGGGACCCATGGGATTGCCTTGACCTCAGTTTGCAGAGTCGCTCGCAAGCAGTGGCCGGATCAAGAGCAGAACAGGCGCAAGGCAGCGGTTTTGCGGGGGGAGGCCGCCTAGCCTTCGACAAGAAGCCCTGGGGGCTTAGGATACATTTTACGTATTTTACTAGTGACTCAAAGTGAAGCAAACAATAAGCTCAGGTGATATCCCCAACAACATGCGGTGCTCTTTCTAGTGCTCGCACCACCCCGCAGCCCTCGCAGAACCTCGTGGAACCCTGGAGGAACACCGGTGGAACCCTCATGGAACCTTACCTCAGGGCCGCCCCGGACCACCCCGGAGCCTATCTGGGCTGAGACCCCAAAGCTTTCAGCTGTTGGGGAATAAAAGATACATTCTATAAATGGGCCTAACTCTAATCATGAGGACTGTTGAGCAGGTTCTAATAAATGCTTTGCAGCTTGCACCAAAGGACATGATGACATTTGTGTAGCATCGGAAAGAAACGCTTGGTTAGAACCCATTCAACAGGTCACTCAACTAGGGAGTGCCCTTGACCATACGCCCCTTGGGCCAACCCATTGATCTTTTGGTTCCCCCTTTTTTTCATGGCCCCAAAAGGTTCATCAGGATTCATCAAGTCCTGGCTGATTCTGATTGGGGAGTAGGGTTCATTTTATCAAAGGGTCCCTGTCGATACACAACAAGTCATTTTCGCCCCAACCCTCATCTCCCCCAGAAACTGTTCCACTCATTTCAATCCACATACCAAGAAACAAGTTTCGCTTGGTGGGTCCCTTTAAACCGTCACCCAAAACCAACCCGGGCGCCGCCTTTCGCTCGCGGAAGAGTTGCGGAGGCCAACGTCATCCTGGGCACCAATGCTCAGGGGCTGCCGAGCGGCGAGGCGGGGAGATTCGGCTGGATGCTTCCAAGGTGGCTCCCAGGCATCCGGTTCCTTGGCTTTGGAGCCTTTTCTTTCGTTCTTTGGTGCATTTTGCTTGGATGTTAGGACTTTAACTTTTTGCCAACTCATGGGTTTTCCACTAAACCACTAAAAGTTAAGCTTTTAGCAGGGGAGCAGAAAGCAACCGAGAATCCGGTTCCTTGGCTTTGTAGCCTTTGAGTGTTTAGTGGCAGTTTCCATTTAACCCGCTGCAAGTTATGGCAGTTTCCATTTAACCCGCTGCAAGTTAGTCACTTGTAGCGGGGGATCGGACAACGGGCAGCCCAGGGAAGTGGACGGTTTTGGGGCTTCCTCTTCCAATAAAAAACCATTCTTCCAAAACCTGTCAGCTTCCATGGTTGGAAAGGGGCCAAAGATTGCAAGGGAACGAGGGTGTGGGAAGATTTGGACAATTTGGAAGGGCCTGGCTCTGGGAAAAGAAACGTATCACCCCAGCTTCGTTTTGTTTCACCGGCGCGTTCGCAGATTCATGTAGCGGGGCCTAGGCTCCGGTCGTCAAAACTAAACTTCGGGGAGGAGGCTTCAGCAGAGCGAACAGCTCCCGGAGCAAAGTAGTAAACAAAAAGCTTGGACTTCTTTGTTTGCAAATCCACTCAGTCTAGGTCCTCCAGTAGAGAGGTTAGAATAAGGGTACCCTTTTTTCTGTAGTCTATTTTGGTAGGGGAACCCTTCCCCAAAAAAGGGTAAAAGGGCACTATGGGGGACCTAGCAGTAAGTGAGATTAAGGGTTACCTTTGGAACCGGCGCAGGCGGAAACCACTGGATGCATTCTCTCACTTTCTGCGAAGCAAGAAAGAGGGCGAGAAACGGTTCAGGTCAGATTCGGGGTTGCTTTGAGCGCTCCTTTGTTTGGTGGCTCCCAGCTATCCCCTTAGCTTTGTAGCCTTTTAGTGTTTAGTGGCAGTGTCCATTTAACCCACTGAAAGTTAGTCACTTTTAGCGGGGGATCAGACAACGGGCAGCCCAGTTTCGTCGTTCCTGATTATTTTCTGCCTCAGACGGAATGTGAAACCAAACCTTTGCGCCATCCTTGGCAGATGGCGCTAGTGGTTGGAAAAAGGTAAGGCATTTCTCAAATGTATAACGGCTGAGCAAAGCACTGACCCCACCAAAAGAACCAGCAGGTTGTGTCAGAGGTCCCTATATATTGTTTGTTTTGACATTGCCCCTTTCAAAGAAGCAACTCAACTTCAAAGGGACCCAAGGGTGATGTTTAAGCAGGACATACTTTCATTTGTTTAAGAATGTTTTTGTTTTCCCCTGGTAGTTTCAAAGGGAATCTATCACTACCGGAAATTACTTGATTTTTCCCAGGGGGCTTAAGCAAATGGAAGATACAAGGAATCGTCGCTCGCTCGTTTTTTGGGTATGTCCTGTACCGCTTTCAGGCCTGGGTGCAGTTCGCGGATCAGGCCAGCGCGGATGAAGCCAGGCTCGAGGGAATTTTGGTTTGGGGGCGCCCTGCATGGTCCCTAGGTCCCCCGGCTAGGTGCCCTTTTACCGTTTCTTTTTTGGGGGGAGGGTTCCCCTACTAAAATAGACTACAGAAAAAAATCGGGTACCCTTATTCTAGCCTCTCTACTGGAGGGCCTAGTTCCTAATCTCGCTCCAAAGCCGAGCTTTTGACCGCTGCGCTTTTGCTTTGCTTTTTTGGGTCCATTTTGTGTCAAGGTTTTAAGAGTTTGCCTTTCCTTTTACCGGTTCTTTGAGCAAGTGAGTAATGTGAACCCAGGATTCAAGTCCCGGCTGACTCTGATTGGGGAGTGTTGCACGAATCAAAGGGGGGGTCCCTGTAGGCTCCACACAGCAAGTAGTGGAGTTTCGCCCCAACCCTCATACTCTCCCCTCCCCCCCCCCCAAAAAAAACACACAAAAAAACAGGTTATTCAACTCATGTTCAATACACATACCCAAGCAACCCATACCGTGCATCCCGTGTTCAAAGCAGATTCAACACCCAGGCATGTTTCTAAAACGGGCCTAGAAGCTAAACCCTCCGAGGTTGCTGGAAGTGGGGTGGAGCATGTTGTATTCTCAAAGCGGTCGGCAAACTCTGGAATGCATTGCATCCAAAAGCAACCCACTAGAAGCGATTCAACGGGCCCCCTGGCCGTTTCTCCAGCAATCCAAACAAGGCAAAACCAAACCAAGCAGAGCAGCAAACAACACGAAGCGTAGAAGCAAACCAAGCTTGAAAGAAAAGAAGCTAATACCAAACAAGGCCAACAATACAACAATGGACTATAGAGCATTTTGAGTGACTCAGCATGGACTACAAACAAGTTTGCTCTACGTGAAAGCATGCTTTGAACAAGTTCGGTGGAGCGTGCAGCCTCCAACATAATCCCGGCAAGCACTTGGTAGGCCCTTTCTTAAGAGTTCAGTGCAGAGACCAATATGATGTCAAAAATGTTAGCCCTCTGCATCCCCTGGAGTCACGATGTCATTATGTCATGTTCTTGTGGGGATCATGCAAGGAATATGTGGCGTGCCGCACTTGGAAAACATAAGCATTGCCATGTCAAGAGCTGAGACTTTCGGTGTGCCATGGGTGAACCCTTTAATTCTCGATGCGCACGCAGTTGACGAACTCATCTTCTACCTGCTTGCAAGGTATGTCAAATCCGACCCCTCCGAAAGTTAGTTTCATAGTAGCTTCAATGTCGAAGGCAGTCTTTTTTGAGTCTGAAGTTGACAGATATTGCATCCAAGAAAGCCAAGCTCAATTGGCACGTCCTCCACTGAAGACTTGAGCACTGGACAATACTACTCCCCACGCTGTAGGCTGTTCCCCAGATTCGCACAGTTACGGATTTAGGCTGTGTCAGAAACTCCTAGAACCCTTTAGAGCCCTCCAAAGGGCTCTCTGAGCTAAAAGGGGTTGGTCTTCTGGCACTTCTGAGTTCTTCGGCAAGCCTCACTTGCCCAAAGCGAATCGACCTGAAATCACCTTTTTGGTTTCCCCTTGTTGGTCCATTCTTAGTCATGGCCTCAAACGGTTAACCTTGTAGTTCTGGGTCCCTACTGAAAGGGGCAGGGTACTTAGTAAGTTGTTAGTAAGCCTGGTGAGTACTGAACGGAGACTTGTAACTGGCTTTTGTGGCTATAACCAAGCTTTCCAACCACTTGCCTGGATGGGTCTCTAAGAGTCGGATGGGTCTCTAAGAGTCCCTAAGGGCCACCTGAGCTTTTCTTCCATTTGTTTAAGAATATGTGCTTTTCTCCCCCTCTTGCTTTGAAAGGCAATTGATCACTACTGGAAATATATTTTTCCAGGGGGCTTAAGCAAATGGAATCCACGCATCGCCGCCTCTCGATAGGCGGCAGAAAGACCGGCAGCGCATCGGCGGTAGATACATCGAGATCTTCAGCACCTCGTCTTGCGGAGGTTTTTTGCTTGACTAGGTCCCCCAGCCAGGTGCCCTTCTCTACCCCTTTTTTGGTTGGGAGGGTTCCCCTACTAGAACAGACTACTACCCTTATTCTAACCGGTGTGGCGCAAAATGAAAAGACCTAGGGCCAGGGTTGCGCAGGTTTTAGTCTTTGGATCTACTTACCATGGTACCATTTTGATACAGTTTTTGGAACCACGGCCATTTGGCTGCGGTTGTCATACATGCATAGTTGGCAACCCCAAAATGGCTTGCCCGATCGCGAAAATGGAAACATGGACTAAACGCTGCAGGCACCCTCTCAGCACCTTGTTTATTTTGGTTTCAAGCGAAACCAATCATAATTCCTATAATTGTTGGGGTTCCCGCCTATGTTGGCATGATTCACAGCCATATGAGTCACAATCAAAACCCGGGTGATTGGAGGGTAGTAAGGCATCTGAGAGCCACGAACGAGGGGCACAACAATGTGAGCCCGGTTCGGATGTTTGGTGCAAACCTGGGTTCTTGGCGCATAAACATGGGGAGATTGGGCTGTTTTTTTGTTGTTTTTCTCTTAAAAAAGGGTACCCTTAAAACTGGTGACTTCATGTATCCTTTACAACCGCCCAAAACAGGTACCATGACAAAGACACACCTACATCGCCAGTTGGCCGTGTTTTTTTTTGTCCATGCACTTGGCCCCACAAACCAGCAACAGCGACTGGAAAAAGCGAAGCAGCAACTTGGCTATCTAGGCATACTTGTTTGGGGACGCCCCCCCCAAAAAATAGTTTTTTTGCTTCTCGGCTTCCCATTAAATCCATCCCCAAGAAGGGGGGCAGCCTTTCTGGGTGCGCCATTCAAGATCAGTTTCGAGGGGCCATGGCACAGCGAGCGCACTGAGACGCCTGTTGCCGACATGGTGGGTATGGGTCGAAATTGAAGCAGTGGACCGCAGGTTTGTTTCAGTCCTTGGTTCCATAGGCTTCCGATTTTGGTACCCATGTTTGACCCTGCTAAAGGGAGGTGCACCCGTTTGTCAGGTGATTTTGGGGCGTGTGTCGGAGACCATTACTGCCTTTCAGGGTGAGAAGAGCAGGGAAGAACTCGGCTACTCCCATGAAGAACCGGCTTGACGCCATGGCACACACATCTAGCAAACTGCTTTTTTGGATGAACATGTTGACCAAGGATTAGTAAACCCCTGCGTATTAGTGCGGGGCACTAAATCCAAGGCGGATTAGAACAGGTGTCCTTTTGGTTAAAAATAGGTGGGTTGCACTGGTTGCAACCAGATGGGTTTTACAAACCATGTACCAGGGAAACCTCACCGATTTGTCCAAAAGGCGACCTATGCCCAGCCTCATTATTTTACCATGATCGAAGTCACCCCTAAGTGGTGGGTTAAAGGGAAATAACCCCATTTTCTGACTTTGATAACCCCCAGAAACAGGAAACATAATGACCTCTGCATGTGTATCAGGCCTTTTGGCTTATTTTTGTTCGAAGGGAAGCCACAAAGGTTTTTTCAGTAGTGCCCTTTCTCTCCCCTTTTTTGGTTGGGAGGGTTGCCCTACTAAAACAACCGACCGAAAAAAAAAAAAAATCGGTACCAACTTATTCTAGCCTCTCTACTGGGGGACCTAGGAGAGGAATGGAACAGGTACCCTTATTCTAGCCTCGGAAACCGGAGGGCCTAGCCACGAAAACACCTTCCGGACTCCAGCTTCGACGCCCCTTCAGGCAGCTCCTACGACGCCGTGACCCCAGGATCCACCCAGCCAGCAACGAAAGCTCGTGGGGAAGCTGCGCGTTTGCGCGCGAAGCCATGGGTTTTCCCAACAGGAAACGAGGAGATGGGCAAGTTTCGATTTTTTTCCCAACTAGGTCCCCCAGCAGTGCCCTTTTACCTGGCTACTGGAGGACCTAGCAAACGTATGTGGCACCCAAGCAAATGAGGGTTAGTAGGGGACAGCCCGAATTATCCATGTGTAGGTGCAGCCGCCCTTCTTGTTTTGTGGGGGGGGGGGGGGGTTGGGTAGAACTGTTTCTGGCGTACATTGGTTGTTCCCTATTGTAGACGACAGAATCCTGTGCCGTGCCAGTTGGGACGCATGAAGATGAACACTTGGGTAAGCCACCTATCCCAAGTGCCGGATTTCGTCCATCCGCAGTATCAACTCGGGACCTTCCATTTGCTTCGTTTTCCAATGGGCATCTATCGCTACTGGACGCTGTTTTTATTCTTAGGAGACTCGAGCAAATCAACTCATTACTGGTCTTGCGTATGCACATGTTCGTGAGGTTACATTATATATATTATGATATATTATGTATTAAGAATCTACGATGTACATACATATATTCATATATTAGATATATTCATGGGAGAATAAATGATGGGCATCTCAACCGCCACCGCAAGGTTGCAGCATCAACATGTAGCGTGAGCCAAACCCCCCGACACAACTGAAACTTGTTATCCCTCAGACGAACAGCCGGAAGCTTCCAGAAGCCCTCTGTCAATGGAACCTCTGGTCTTCCAAAGGGGTCCTGGGAGTTCCCATGGAGTCGCCCGGGAAAAGGGCCGCAGTTGAAAGGACGCCCAAAGGCTTCACACGCTTTTTGCACGCCTTTCCTCGGGAAGGGCGTGACCCGTAGTTTGTAACTGTACCGACCATTGCCGGAGCATGTGTGAGGTTGACTGGGATCTGAAGCTCTTATTGCATATGACTCCCTTAAATGTATGAGTGTTTGTGCAGCGCTATTGCATCCTGCATGTTCACATCGTGTTGTTTTCCACGAGTGCTGCATCTTCTCATGGAATCTTCGGGAGGGCTATGGGGACTATCCCTGGATAAGCCCAGGATGACCCAAGGACAAGCTCTTCGTAAGGCCTTATCAAGGGCTTAATAAGGGATAGCACCCCCTCCCCATAGCCCCGCTTGGGGGTCCACGATCTTTGGTCAGTTCGACGTCACTCAGGACTGCACCGCGCGAAGTGGGGGCGCCATGGGCGCCGTGGGCAAAGGCGCGTATGGCGGCGGTGCCATCGCGGGCGGCAACAGCGCGGCACCTTGGCTGAAGCAGCAAGAGAGGTCCAGAGACACGCACACACACACACACAGACACACACACAGACACACAAAAACACACACAGACACACACACAGACACGCAAAGACGCACACAGACGCGCACAGACACGCAAAGACGCACACACGCAAAGACGCACACAGACGCACACAGACACGCAAAGACGCACACAGACGCACACAGACGCACACACACACAAAGACACACAAAGACACACACAAACACACAGACACACAAAGACACACACACACAGACACACAAAGACACACAAAGACACACACACAGACACTCACAGACACACAAAGACGCACACACACAAAGACACACACAGACACACACGGACACACACAGACACACACAGACACACACACACACACACAAACACAAACACACAAAGACACACAAAGACACACAAAGACACACACACACACACGGACACACAAAGACACGCAAAGACACACAAAACAAACACAAAACACACACACACAAAGACACACAAAGACACACCCACACAAACACAGAGACACACAAAGACACACACAGACACACACAAAGACACACAAATTCACAGACACACAAAAGCACACAAAGACACACAGACACACACGGACACACAGCAACACACACACACACAAAACACCAAAAAACAGACACACACAGACAAAACACACACACACACACGCAAAACACACACGCACACAGACACACACACACGCACACAGACGCACACAGACGCACACAGACACACACAGACACACACAAACACACACACACACAGACACACACACGCACACACACACACACAGACGCACACAGACGCACACACAGACGCACGCACAGACACGGACACACAGACACAGACACACACACACACACACACACGCAAACACACACAGACACACACACACACAGACGCACACAGACACACACTGACGCACACTGACGCACACAGATGCACACAGACACACACACACAGACACACACACAGACACACACAGACGCGCACAGACCCACAGACACACACACAGAGACGCACACAGACACACACACACACACAGACGCGCACAGACACCCAGACACACACACAGACACACACACACACACACAGACACACACACAGACGCACAAAGACACACAAAGACACAGACACAGTCACACAAAGACACACACAGACGCACACAGACACACACACACACACACCGACGCACACAGACGCACAGACACAGACACACAGACACACACACACACACACACACACGCACACACACACAGACACACACACACACAGACACACACACACACACACACACACACACGCACACAGACGCATACAGACTCACAGACGCACACAGACGCACACAGACGCACACAGACGCACAGACACACACACACACACAGACACGCACAGACACACACAGACGCACACAGACACACACACACACAGACTCACACAGACACACACAGACACACACACACACGGACGCACACAGACACACACAAAACACACATACACAAATACACACACACACAACACACATGCACACAGACACACACACACACAGACGCACACAGACGCACACAGACACACACAGACACACACGCACACACACACACACAAAGACACACAAAGACACACGGACACACAAAAACACACACAAAACACACAGTATCACAAACAAACACACAAAACACACACGCACACAGACACACACACACACAGACGCACACAGACACACACACAGACACACACAGACGCACACAGACGCAGAGACACACACAGACGCACACAGACGCACACAGACGCACAGACACACACAGACGCACACTGACGCACAGACACAGACACAGACGCACACAGACACACACACACACAGACGCACACAGTCACACAGACACACACGCAGACACACACACAGACACACACAGACACACACAGACGCACAAAGAC